AAAACTCAGACACTTCAGAAACGCTGTCGACATGCTCCTGGGAGCGCCCCACAGAAACACTCGTTGGAGGTCCTCTGCCATCTCGCACATACAGACCTGCTGAACACTTCAAAATGGACGCGTGTTGCGGAGTAGGCTGTAATAGTAAAATACATGCAGTACTTTTTTATGTTCACCCACGATTTATATAGTCTGGTTAATGATAGCATCGTTGTTTACTCAATGGCCCATACCACTGGTGTATCCTGTAAAGTTTGCTAGATTAAAGTTCAACGGTTCAAATCGCCGTATATCAACTACAATGTATATAATCATGATAAAGTATGATCATGGGGGTAGAATCACATCAAAGCCATCCCTATAAAGAGAGTAGCGAAGCGGGATTATCTGCATTGTGACGACTGCCCGGGTCGGTCTCCACCACCATCGGTTAGCAGTTTAACTTTTACGGCCTGAGACGCAGTTCCGTTTTGGCGGATGTCTACCGCCAGCATGAGGCCCGTCTTTAGGAGTTTATTCGCCTATAGTAGTTCATCAGTGTTTTACCTACGTGATCTCTTCTTAAATTACACAATTATCGGAGTGAGACGGGATGCGGAAATCAGTAACTCACACGAGTATCTCCCCGCGACTACCCGTCTATCGGAGATTGAATGACGCTTACAATCGACCGGGTTCCCCTCCTTCCTCCATGGTTTTTGGCCGTAGCTTAATAGAGAGCGAGGCTTAGCGCACGGCCACTTCATATACACGTAGGCTGGCGTCCCCAAACGACTACCAGCATGCACGAAACGCCAAGGCACTAGTCAGGGGAACAGTTGGGGCTACGATCACTCGCGATCGAATGCGGACATTTGCTACTATGGGTAATGCATTGCGCCACAGCCAAGTTTCGCTTCTTGTTTTCAAATAGACCTACAACATAATGACGTAAGGCAGTGTTTACCGCGGTGCATTGTCGGTGAAAGGTGGGAATGTTGCAGGAACACGTGCGTATACGTTATGTGTATTAACGTATACTATATTGCGTGTGCCTCGACCTGACACGAAAAAAGAGAAAACATTTTTAAAAATCCCGATTATAGTCCAAAATGATCCATGTGAACTGCTGTGTTCCATTGTGTTTATCAAGCGCTCAACGAACGCCAGAGCTGCTTTTTTTAACTTCCACGGGACAGCAAAATGCGACAGATTTGGATAAGTTCCGTGAAAAATAAGGCCATGAAAGCGAAGTCCAAGTGGACTGACCCCTGTATGCTGTCTACATTTTGTAGGCGGAGACAAAACTTATGATGAACCGGATCCAACGATTTCCCGTGGACAAGTAAGTGAGAAGATTCGAAGATTTTTGGAGAGCTGCAATCTGCTTGAATAATTTCACTATCTTGAACTAGGAAAACGACTGTATTATGTGAAGAGATCTCAATGGTCGAGTTGTCTCTCTGTCAAAGTCAAGTTGTCCTAACAGACGACTTGGCAAACGGTCAAGTTGTCTCAACGGTCGAGTTGTCCGAAGTCGACTTGGCAAACAGTAGAGTTGTCTGACACCCCTGCATAGGCCCACATAAATTTTGCCTTAACCCCTTCGTACTTAATCTGACATTTACACAGTGCTTCAATTGTACAGTTAAATTAAGTCCATTTATTTTAATGTGTTTTCTATTGATAATAAATCGCACAGCACTTGTGAGTGCTTGATCGTTGTAAGTGCTTGATCGTGTAAAAAATCATAGTTTATTTTGTATTGTGCTCAGTGATCAACAGTATTCGGAATAATACTGAGTTTTCAAGTTTGACAAACTTGTTTTCAATGTAGATATCCATGTTTACATGCGCTTCACAGTTTACAAGGTTTTTGCACTATCGCTACCAAAACATGCATCCTCGGGCTAAACTATAGGCCCGTAATATAATATTCACATGCATGCTACCTTTTCGTATTTCTTTTGAAAACGTTTAGGTTTACCGGAAAGGCAGCCTACATTCTTCGAGATTTATAAAATGAAAATGGTCACTGACGACTTACACTTTTATCCAAAATCCAAACTGTGATGGTTCCTTTTATTGAATGATGTCTAGCTTAAGTTCTAGACACAGTTGTTGACTCGGTAATTTTATAATGGAATATGAAGTTATTAAGTTAAGGTGGGCTAGAGTAGACGAATTGTGATTCTTTCGAGATTTAGGCCAGAAGCTAATTTTCATGTGACTGTAATTTCTTGGAAGAAAAACATTTCCATTCATTTAAATGTTTGAATCATGGAGGTCTCTTCGGATTTTTAGATTGGAATAGTTGATATTTCGGTTGAATATAATTCAAGGTTTGAACTAAATCAACTAGGCCTATCCTAGGTGTTTGCACGAATGTCCAAAGCTCTACCCATAAATAAATCATAGTTTCTAATATGTTGTGTATAGTAACAATTTAACGAGAAGTTAAACCTAGAACCTAGAAAAACTGAAGTAATTGAGATGTTTATGACTTTATAACTGGCAATTAGTGGTGACAAGCGGTATTTGCAGTTATATATAATTGCCGCTAAAATGCACACAGAGATTTTTGAACCCGTATCCTAGACAATGAGTAGAGAGAGCACGCGTACACGACAAAGAAATGAAATAAACATTATTACACATAAAATTAACATGCAGGATCCGCTTCTACAGTCCAAAGTCTATCCATGTCGTATGCTTTGATATGAAACAGACTGCTTTTCGCTCCCGACCTGTTAAGATTGTCACCTTTGTCCAGCGAGTCAAAAAAGACTACGTTCATTGAGGGCCGGCCAACACTGCAAACGAATGCGCAGTAGAACGGAAGCTTGAATTTTACTAAACAAGGTAGGGGCAGTTTTCAAAATCTTTAACGAGTTAGTTTTTTAAGCGCCATTAGGCTAAGATTATAATTCTAAAGGCACAACGAAAACTAGCGTGCGTTTTCTCCATGACAATGCCCCCATGGACAGAATCAATACCCACGCCTGCATGTCTCGCACGAGCGAGAAGGAATTGACTCGCAGGCAAAGCACGGGAACACTGAGAACTGCTGTAAAATAAATGGTTTCCAAAATCTCTTCATTGCTTTATCCGGAGTAAATAATTTCACCGAATCATTTGTTGAAGCATTCATTGATAACATTCCCAACCTAAGCTTTCATCAGTGCAATAGGAAGGGGGGTCCTATGTTTGTTTAATTATCTGTGCAAACTGAAGTGGTACGATAAAGGAATGGTTGTAAGAAAATACAGGTTTAGACCTTGAACAATTTCAAGTTGATAATGTATAATAGAATTCATTTTTTTCTTTTTTCATTTGTGATTCATTTGATAGTTTTACATTTTATTTGTTTTGTTTAAAGAGCGAAGCATTAGTATAGTAATTCCTTTACTCAAAGATTTTTTAATGTGTAGGGTTTATGCGTTGGTCCTACTTATTCCAGAATAAGCAGAACTATAGGAGAACGTTCCTCAAAATTGGAGGGAGGTAAATGTTTTTCAAAAAATAGGCGTATTGAGTTTTGTGCACGTGTCATGTCATGCTTAGTCTCCATACTGTCGTAAGGATCGCCGACAACATGTAAATTAATGTCAAGAAAGAGACTGTCCATGAAGAGCCGTGTGTGATGTCATTCTACCAAACATGAACAAAAGGATGTCTGAAACTTGGAAAATATTGTCGTTAAAAATGCCTCTTTGAGGCAATGATATTGTGACTTGATTTAAAAAAGGCATTTCAGTTCAGTGAATTTTCTTTATTACCAGCTATTTTGTTCAGAATTGGGGCGGCAAAATGTGTGATGCTAAGCTAGAAAGACATAATGCATGTTTCTACACTGGCCCACTCTGGCGACTCCGCGGAGACAGCTGGCAAAGTTGAGCGAAGTTCGACTGCTGCCAACTCCCGCCGTCCATCTTTGCGTCAGTTTGGAAAATCTCCGACAAGACGTTTCGATCTGTCGGCGAAGCCTTGGAGGCCCTGCAGTAACACTGTGACGATTAAAACGACTATAACCAGGCTTAACCATGGAAAACGATACTAGAAACGCGGCTACAAATGGCACATACTACAGGCAAAAAATCTCTTGACTGCACTTAAAACAGTTACAGTTGTACAAAGAAGGTTCACTCTAAATTGCGGTCATGCCGCGCCCGTTACTGAACTTTTTACGTGTCTACGGAAGGGAAGACGGGCCACGCCAAAACAATTTCAAATTGGTATCTCGCTGCTGCGAGATAATCCGCCGTGGCAGCGTAGCATTTTTAAAAAAGAACTGGTCATGCCTCCTCTACGCTTCCTTACGTTCCTGACCCAGACGTCATTGTTGTTTTTCCACGGTACGTGAACCTTCGTGTGAGTGTCAAACACAAACGTCTCATAATAGGCCCTACGCAAAGGTTATATACATGTCTGATATACAAGTCGATTACAGAAACTGTGACGTCATTTCGAGCAAGAAAAAAAAGGGGGGAAAACGGCTTTTGCAAGAAAAGTTTCTTCTATGGCAAACTGCAAAAGCTGCTACATTGTACTAAGCAACAAATTTACGTAGTGAGGACACCTTTGAATGGTTCTTTGAAAGGTAAACTTTTACATGAACCCAGTGAATAATCAACAGAAATTACTGAGCACAGATGCGCGTTCCTTCGTGAAAACGAAAATCCACGTTTTCCTACGTTTTGGCCCGTTTGTTCAAAGTGTTTTCCTCAGGGAAGGTGCTCGCATGATTACGCGCGCACAGCTTTACAACTTTTTGAAAGATGTATGTGTCTTACTAAAAACGAAAATTTCATTTGACCCTCTTTTAGGCCTTCGCAAGCAATGTGTTTTTACATGTTCAAGGGCCATACATCTTTGCTTCTCATTGTGAAAACACAAAATGAATTTACTTTGATTTCTGCCAGTGATTTCATTAATGTAATTCGGCATTTATGGTGATTTCCTGTAAATGCGTGTGAAACTGGTCAAGTACAGTATGTTGAAATAGTGAAACAACCAAATCAAATAAATCGTCATTTTTAATGACATTCCTGTTTCTTCGTGCAAAATTGTGACGCTATGTACACATATTCTCGTACCACCTCAGACAAACGCACGTGATACCAAGCCCCGTCGCAAGCTTAGGGCACAAGTGCAGGGCCAAAGTACCGGTGGGCACCTCAAAAGAACAATAGGTTATGGGGAGTTCACTTGTGTTAAAATGGAGTCGTTATGGGAACCAAACGCGTTATGGAGACAAAGTCCACCCACATTTCAGTTCCGACTTGCCTAACGAAAGGAAATTTTCCCGTTAACACAGTGAAGGATGTGCCCACCCTCGCACACATCCTTCTTGGGTTTCCCTTTTTGCTCTATCAAATTCCACAGCCTTTTCTCTCGGCAGTGAAACATTATCCCATGTGCGGCCTTTTCTTTCTAGAGCGTTCTCTGGTGCACTCCCTCGTCCCCACAACTTGTAACAGTGTCCCTGTACGTTGACACACGGACTTCCTCTTTCAGAACGTTTACCGTAGTTCACTATTTTTTGTGTGTGTGTTGTGTTGCGCGCTACGGCATTCTACTGCGCAACAGAGAGAGGACATTCACACAGAATCTGGATCCAATACGCAGTCCGTCCAGTTTCTTCAACTTTGGAAATTCACTGATCTTCATTTTAAATTAGGAATAGGACAGGCGTATGCTTACGCACGATGAGATTCTGGAAATGCTGACACTAGTGACAGCTGGGTAGTGAGGGTTTGCAGTGGTTGCCGCATGCGTTTAACTCTTAACGGTATCTGGCCTGGGTGTGGGTGTTATAATTAGGCCCATATATCTCGGAGATTGACAAACATGCGCGTGACGGTCTGATATGACGAACGTACTGTATTTCTCACTTTCAAGCCCTTACCAATGAAACGCTTACGCACACAATATAGAGGGTGCCATGCCCATGGATAGGGAAGATTTCTTCGATGTCTGTGGTCGTGCCTTATCCAATTTTGAACAAGAGGGGTCAGTGGGGAATTTTTATTCTGCCCATACACAAGTCCAACACCAATTCGACAAAGACAAAGGCAGGCCGAAAATTCTGCACCTAGCTTCTTCAGATGAGTTCTGTTAATCTTATTTTTCCCTGTTTATTAAGTATGCGTATGACTAAAAAAAATAATAAATTCGTGAAACTGTGAAGGTTGGTGCAGATAGGATTCAGGTTGGCATATCTTTGGATCTCCTTTTTTTAATTTCTGACCAAGCAGGTTTCATGCAAAACCCTGCCGACTCGTGAACTGGATTGTCAAGTCCTTGCTGACGTTTTGGCTTTCCGTGGTCTTTTGTTAAGGAGTATTTCCCGGAACCTTGAAAACATTTCTCCCCAGGAGAAAGTGAAGGTTTCTTCCGTGGACGCGCCTCCATCCACCCCACTGACATTATAAGGACAATGCAGTGTCAATCTAATACCGCTCGTGCAGTGAAAGATATAGCCATTGCTATAATTTTCCTTTTTTCTCCCATAGGTAAAGTTGTACTATCCATAAAATTGTGCTGTCGAATTTGTGTTTGTTAAAGGACGATAGCTACCCCGACGCCACCATGAATTGGCCATCTGCTCGTCCGAGGACATTTATTGAGATCACCCTGGCTATGCTGCTAGTTATTGTGCTCGCATTTCCGAGGACAGGTCACTGTTTCCAAGGTCTGGCAAGTTACTCCCAAGCGGTCGTTGGAATTTGCAAGAGATTAAGTCAATGAAAACCCGCTATTTAGAATGCATGATGTCATTTTTTTAGGAATAGTGAAAAGAAAAAGGATTGAAGGATATCGCCTTTTTAGAATTTCGCGAGAAAAATGCAATATGAGATTATAAGAGAGATGCACAGTAACAAATATACTGCCTGTTTTTCCATCTATGAAAGAAAATAGAAAAAGTTGGGTTATGACATAGACTGTCAAATATGATGTGATAAGACGTCTCTTCAATTTTTCAAAATGTAGAACAAGAATTCTAGCTCAGTTTTGTCGATGCCCGCACAAGTGTATTTCATCCATATGATTGTGAATATCTACTTTAATTAAATGCAATCAGCCTACTGGATGAAATTCTGGGCCGAAATTCTTTGGTTTGATTTTATGTCAGAGCCATCATGATCAATAAATGTTCGAGTCAATGTAGATACCATTTGATGCCCAGACACTGTTCGAGACACTTAAGAAAAATAATAATAATAATAACAATAAAAAGGATTCAAGAGGTTTAACAACACAGTGATTGACTGCTGTGATGTGGGGCATGGCTGATATAACACCGCGGGGCTCACCGCACCCGAGGCGATTCCGATGGTGAACATGCGCCCCACAGTTTTAATTTCTTCGCACAACAGGGTAACATTTCCCCCGATGTTTTAGGAAAATACTTTGTTTTGTAACTCGTGCAGATTACACAACATGTGGCAAGCAGAAAGTGCCCTTAAGTGGGGAGGTGGCCATCGTTGGTGGCAAACCGGCCCAGGTTGGAGAGTGGCCGTGGCAGGCGCAGATGCTCTTTCAAGGTCGGGGAATATGTGGCGCATCCCTGGTCCACCCACAATGGATCTTATCTGCAGCACACTGTGTGTAAGTATTAACCGGGTTATTTATCTACTAATTAAGGGGACAAAAGTACCTTTTGCTGGAATTTGAGGTACAATAAAGGAAAAACAAGCCAAATGGTGTTTTTGTACACTTTGGCCATCCATACAAATTGTAGGGAAATGAAAACATGAATATTACAACGTGAAATAATATTTCAAGGAGCAGCAGGAGTGTCAAGACATCGTAATCTACACTTGAACTTCATTAAAACTTAGAATTTTATCAATAAATGTAGAAGTTTCCATTACACTAACAATTCAAACATGAAAAATTCTAATTACATAGGCCTGTAAAACTAGACTTGACGTGTTGGTAGACAAACGAGGGATGTTTCGGCCGTTTTTTAATGACTGGCTTATAGAGCCTTATTCCTGTACGTTATATAGGCTCTGATGTATACAAAAGGAATGTTGAAAATACATGTATATTGGTTTGTTTACAATATATGTCGAAAGAATGTTGAAGAATGGCAAATTTGAATATATTCATAAGAAATCGCATGATGACGTCATGACAGCACCCGATGGTGTCATCATCACATCAAGACAATTTACGTCTAAAACACTTCTAGGTACATACAAGGTTTCAAGTGAATCAGACATTTACTTCTGGAAATATAGTGCTTTAAAGATTGTACTTTTTGTATGTAATGTGACTTGTCATCTGATGACGACATCATTACAGGATATCAATTTTCGTCTATAACACATTCCTTTCTAGCTTCATGTACATGCAAATTTCCAACCCAATCAGACATTTACTTCTGGAGATATAATGCTTTTTAGCTATCTGCAAGGTCTGAACCCAATCGGATATGTACTTTAGGCGATAAAGTGCTTTAAAGGATGCACCTTTAATGTCAAATAACTTGTCTCCTGATGACATCGTCATCACATGATGTCAATTTTCGTCTATAACTCTCCCTTTCTATTTGCAAGGTTTCAACCCAATCGGACATGTACTTCAGAAGATATAGGGCTTTGAAGTTTGCACTTTTAATGTCATGTCACGTGACACTCGACGTCATTTAGATGATTTTGTCGGGGGACCCTCTCTAGTTGTTGGACTGACAGTATGGACCTAATATGACCCAATCAGATCAATAACAGTACCAAATTCTGGCTGTTCAAAAGTTTGTACAAAACTAAAGGAGAAAAAAGCGCAGATAATCTCACGTGACGTGACCCTAATGACGTCATCATGACGAATTTCTCCTTGGATATTGTTTTGACAAGTTGCCGAAACAGCTAATGAATATAAAACGCTGTCTGATTTTCTTTTAAAATTCTGTTGAAGAAAGCTAATAGCGTTCTTTACATTTATTCTGACGAAACTGAAAACGAAATTCCAGATCTGTATGTATGAGTAGGATTCGAACCTGAGCCATAGAGGAGGGCAGTAGCGGCAAATTCTCTCCAAAGTATTGGGAATTGAGTGAAGGATGCAGCCAAAAGTAGATATTTTAAAGTGTGCGCCGTGCTGCATTGGACACGATCGCTGGCGCTTCGTCATGAATGGCCGACAGAGAGCGTGTCCATCACGAACATTACATAGTTAAAGCATGTCACTATTGGGGTATCCCCATTAGCACTCCAGGAAAACATACTGGATGGCACGTCCACTGCTTCCCCCCCCCCCGAATATAGTTGTCGATGCTGGAAGGTACATATAAGAACGCCCATAAATGACTGTTCTTTTGGCATTACGCCTACTGCCTGAAGTTGTTTTCCAAACCTTCTAGGAGTACTCTCATAGATCAGCCGCAGTACTTCGCTTTCAAGATGGGCAGCAATAAGTATGAGGGTGGAGGTGCAAACACGCAAATAAGAGCAGCCGACAAAGTTTTCATGCATCCGAACTACACCATATACAACACCGACCACGATTCCGACGTTGCTCTCTTCAAGCTAGACAACCCGTTCGACCTCAACGACTATGTGCAGCCTGTGTGCGTTCCGACGGCCGACATGGCAGACAGCTTCCAAGCCGGCACACAAGTCACAGTGACAGGGTGGGGATCGACAGGAGATGGTAAGATAAGGACAGCCAGTCACGCTGTCCAAGCTAACTCAGATAAACTTTAGTTTCTGCCAAGATTGCAACATTCTGCAGCATTTTTTACTTCAAGAAAACTTGCCTTTCGATACATATACGTTGGGAAAGAATACGTACTTGGAACTTACAACTCTTTTCATTTTGTCAGAAATTGCCTTTCACTCTCTTGAAGATTTTGTGCACAACCAATGAAGTCTTTTTAATTTGGTATGATACGATGCCCCAAAGCTTCCAAGCATGCCCTATCGACCAGAATCCTGCTACTGTGTAATGTAACGTGTTTTAAATGGGGTACGGTTGAGTAATATCTACAGTAAAGGAGTCCCTCTAGGCCCCACTCATTTAGCTGGGCACTTTTCTTCAGATGACGTCATTTCTCTATTATATGTACATTTTTCTGGGAACCCGACAAACAAGGTGGTCTTATGTCCCGTTTATACATCTACAAGCTGAGAACGCTTTTTAACAGTTAATAGCGAGGGGTCCAGTCTATTTCACCGTTGGCAGCGGCGGTACGTCCGTATGCGCGGTAGCGATGGACATCGCACGTTATACGCACATCATTTTAAGTGGGAAAAAAGTGAGTGGGAAAACAAGCCGCGTCGCTGCACCACTTTTGGAGCCAATCCCTGACCATAGACCAGAAACGTTTTTGGCTTAATCCAATTTTTTTCATTTTGTTTTCTATTCCAATTCCATAGTCGTTTCAAGGGAGAGTTATGGCCCACTTTGTTCCCAAAACAGTTGGCTAATAGGCCCGAGTTGCACGATTGCGCAAGTCGAACGGAAAATGGCAATAGACATATTAAAGTTGGACAATTTATTGGTTGTTTTCTTCTTGAATGTACTCTTACTTTGCCAGCAAGGAAGAGCTTGTGAGGCAGATTTGCCAACTAAAATGGCTTCTCTTCTTCGCAGCTCTTTCAACTAACGGTGCAACCAATTTCAACAAATATAAATAGCATGTTCAATACGTGCCCTACCCAGTGTAGTCTACGCACAAAGTACTCCCTCATAGGTGAGCAAGATGAGAGGAATAAAAGTGACGTCATTGCCATTGTCGCCATACAACTGTACGCAAAGATGCTTCGTATTAACTTGTGCGCAGTTTAGATGAAAAGCCGTAAGGCTGTGCACGAGGTCACAAAGCGCTATGAACTGTTCTATAACGGAGTTCGTTCACAGACTCTAGACAAATGAATTTATATATCGTGTATATATTATTCCACGTATGATTTGGCTGAGTGATTCTTTTCCTTTTGTGAACAAAACAGGCTCTTCATATAGTGAGGACCTACTGGAAGTCTCTGTTCCTATAGTGGACCAGGAGTGCAAAAGCGCTTACAACGCCCACAACATCATTATTACCGACAACATGGTGTGTGCTGGAAAGAGCGATGGTGGCAAAGATTCCTGCCAGGTGGGTTGCTATGCACTTGAGTCTTCGGTTCCCTATTCCACTTGTTCAAATATGTTTGTTTCCCGCGCGGAAGAAAAATAGCCCCTTTCAAACTAAAATCGATCGGGACTCCATCCAGGTTGTTAGTAAATAGGCCTAAGCACTTGTACCTGATGTCTGATAGTCCAAGGTTCACATCCAGACTCCGGTATTCTGTTCACTCACAAAAAATAATGCATGTAGCTTTTGCCACCTCTGTGCAACACACGAGCGAATCTGTTTAAATTAATTTGACTTTGCCTGTCGTCATGGACTTTAGCAACTGTAAAATTCAACAGTTAAAATATAACTTTGTAAATGAAAATACGAAATCTCAAAGAAATTGTTTCAGTAGAAACGGGAGCTTGCACTGTCTTATTACAAGGGTGCAAGTTTGGAAACTTGTTCGTAGTTAGGAAGTAGTTTTAAACTTAAGTTTGCCTTAGCCGACGTCAGACGACAAAGAACCAAACTGACATTTTCCCGATGTCTGAAACGTTGAGTACCCTCCGTTTCTCTTTAGTACCCTCCAGTCCTTTTCAGAACCACAAATAGTCACAAAAGAGACATCCATATCCTTGCATGGTGCTGCCGCAAACCTTGACTTTAATCGCCACCTTTACTATGAAAAGCTTCAAAGATCCAAGATCTATGTTTTCCGAGAGCCTTTGAGGAAAAACCCTCTTCACATTTTATTGAGATGGAACTTCAACCAAGTGCTTGCGTTTCATATTAAAGTATAATCGTAAAACTGTAATTGCAGCCGTTTTCCTTTTCTCGTTTCTGCTTGAAAAACGTTTGGGTACACATCTTCTTTTTTATAGGGAGACAGTGGAGGACCAATGGTAGCCAAAACGAACGACAAGTGGTTCCAGGTTGGAGTCGTCAGTTTTGGCATCGGGTGCGCTCTGGCGGAATATCCCGGTGTTTACGCGCGCATGACCGCCTTCCAGGATTGGATAGCACCGATTTTCGAAGGGAAGGACCCAGACCGACGTAAGACATCATTGCAATTATTTCAGTCATGTTTGTTAGTCAAAGTCCTCAGTAATTCTTGCCCCATATTCAATTTGAATTTGCAGCCTGGGAGTTAAAGATTTTTCTCCACAATTTTAAATGTCAACTTGTGACATCCGAATCAAAACTGGGAAGAGGCAAGTTATCGAATGTACGATAATTTCAGAAATGCCGCCCCACACGTTCAAACTGCATTTCCATGCAAAAACGTTGCCTTAATGTTTATGGTCAGCAGTGTTTTTTTCGAGTAAATTCATGTAAGACTAGACAGTTTTGACAACCGAATCACGTGGCACTCGTTCAAAGGGTGTGAACAATATTGGCATAATATCAAAAGCTTTTTCCTGATATCCTTTGTATCGTTAATATTTACCATCCTAGACTGCGTATGAAAAATTTCGAGTAGGATAATCTTTCGGGGGAAACACTGATGGAAACCTTTCGTCTTTACCCACAGAGGACAGCAACTGTACTGATCGCAGTGAGTACAAGTGTTTGCTAGGAGGCTGCATACCATACGATGCAAAATGCGACGGAGTTCATGACTGCTACACTGGTAGTGACGAAAATGCCAATTGCGGTAGGTGTTTTAACATTTCCAGCAATTTCCTGTGCGTTACAGGTCCCTTAATTATTCGAAAGAGGACTGTCACAAAGCTGATAATAGAAACATGAATTGAAAAGGTGAAGCTTCCAGTACCTTGCCATCAACCATTATTTAGAATGATTTGCTGAGAGAATGCAGGTACAGGTTTCGATCAATGCTGACCACCCATCCTTGACCAAGTGGTTCTCATTTTAATGAAGCCAACTACAGCATCAAGTTGAGGGAAAAAACTAACCGTGATTGACTTCGACAGCAAGAAATGGTGGAATGAAGCTATCTTTCTCTCTGGAAGAAGGAGAAACTCTGATATTCCTGTCATTGAAAATAATGGAGTTGCTCATCAACGACTAGGGACATGACTGACGCTTTCTGCCAAGAATCTGTTGAAATGTTCCATCTGTAAAATCATGATAACTCCAGGGAACAGACAGCCTTCTTCACCGTAATGTTAAAGTTATGTTCATGACATTAGGAGGATACTGCAGAGGCTTTTAAGCGGAGATAAAAAATCCTTCCCCAGTCAGTTTTCAACCAGAGTTCTCGAAGAATGCAGCCTAGAACGTGTCGGTTCTCTGCTTTGTCGTTCGAGCTGCGTTTTTCCAAACCAGTGGAAGAAAGCCTCAGGGGCATATTATAAGCACACAGAATCCAGGGTGATTCCTTTAACTTGGTGTACCGACCTGCATTGCTTCTTTCCTCTATTTAGCAAAGCGATAGTAGCAACAGTCCTCAACAACTCCAAGGTTACGTGCTTAACAATAATTTTTTAATGCAAGCAGTGTGGCTACTTATCAGACCAGGGCATAGTAGATCTGATTACCCGGTACCCATTTTCTCCTTATCATCTTCCATACATGGAATACCTGTCCAGACAAGAATGCTGGATACGTATCATTACCCTTGACATAATAAGGAGCATGAAAGTCTGGCTCGATGGACTCCTTTCAAATTTGAGATCCATGGAATACCTTAAAAATAACCATTCAGGTTGTACTTGCCCTCTTTGGCCAAAACTACAGATTTATCATCAGTCAACGCATTAGTCCCGAAATGCCAAATACACGAGTAGTTGATGCACTGTTTTTTATGTCGTCACTGATGATCCTGTTGATACCAGTGAATATGACGTTACCTGGGCGCTGATAACTGCATGCTCTTTAAACAGTAAAGAAGTTACACCTTATTACCTGCTTTCACTGATGCCCAAACCTCTAGACCCTTATTATGATGCTGCCATATTTGTCTTAGTCCCTGTAGACTCAATAGCATCAGTAATACAACTTCACATCTGTCTGAACAAGAACGAAACCGACCTGCAATGAAAAAAGAATCTCTTTCGCGTGTAAAAGGTTTTCAAGTAGCTTCACATGAAACGGAAACACAGTCATGCTTCAGAAGATTATTGACTAGTCCCACCAGCTCATAATATCACAAAATGTGCGAGCACACATTAATTTTAGCCAACGTTCTTTGGCTCTCTACTGTTTGCTTCTACGGATCATTTCTGCTCACCCAATCTGACCCCCAAAAGAGGTGTTCTAGCCAACAATGAGCAAATTCTAACCCAATTATAGCCTATCCAGCAATCTCCCTTCCCCAAATGACAGTTTATTCCAGTGGAATGAACTATGTTGTTTTCCCTATTTCACAGATTTTCCAGTGAGCATGTTCGACATCACTGAAAGCAGCTATCGCAATTTCAAACTCACAAACGACTCCATTCGTAAGACTCATTTCGCCCCAACGCCATCAGAGTGTGCGGTTCTTTGTTTAGCCTTCAGTACGTGCGTGGCATTTGATTTCACCCCTAACTTCGCATTGTGTGATTTGGCTGAGGCTGGTTACAGCTTAATGGAGACCATTTTTTACGTTCAACATTATGTACTTGGGAAGTTGAAGGGTAAGTGTCGTAATAGCTCGTCAATTATTGGTTTGCGGTGGTATCTTATGGTGGCTCTTAAAGGACAAACCTAATGGTTAATATTGACGTCAGCATTCACGTCCAAAATTCACAACTTGCCGAAAGTCGCAAATATTGACGTCAGTATGCATGTGTAAAATTACCGGCTTGAGACCGGTTCGTGTACTTGGCACGGAAGTGAACACAAACGCGAATATTCACCCTGCGAGTTCGCAAAAATTGAAAACATTTCAGCTTGAGCGAAAGTTTGTTCCTAATCCTTTGTGACGTCAAATTGGCCTCGCTTTCACATTCGCACATGTAGAATGAACCGGCTTTTGCTCTCCCGGTTTATTTTATTAAATTTTGCTCCAGCCAGCTGGGCGTGAGGTGAGGTGGGCGTGTACACGGCAGTTATACACCCTACCCGGGTGATAGATCCAGCTAATTACTAATAAGCACGTGCGCACATAATCTGCCTGTTGTGGCGGAAACAGATTTAAGGGCACACTGACAATCATAAGTGACTCAGTGGCCTGGTCCACTTTGACAAGAGGAGAGAGGGTATTTTCTTCACAAACATCTAGCAGACTCGTGGTAGTAGGCATTCTGTGCACAAACATACAGGAGCAGCATTTTGTGCACAAACATACGGGAGTGGAGGTTTTGCCCGCCCTGTTTCAGTGACTGCCCGGATGACCCCATGATTGACACCCCGTCTAAAAGTAGCACGGGGATAGTTAGGAGAAGTCACGGGATCTGGATTAAGTCATGTTTATCATTTGGTAGAACGAACGTATCACGTGATTTCTTGCCATGCTGGGGACAAACTCCCATAACTCGTTAGCTTTGGATGTAAATAATGACGTCAATATTAATTTGGCGACTTGAAACAAATCGTGCATTTTGGCCACGAATATTGACGACGGGTGGTGCCCCTTCAGAGCCACTTTAACTTTGCGATACCAACTAATGAAACCATGAAGTATCAGCAGTGCTAAATGTAGCTGAAATGTGACAGTCCCAGACTAAAAGGCCAGTCTAATTGACTCCCTCCGTGCCCTTGGTCCTACATCCACCCATCACCCGAAAGGGGGACCCTGTAAAATTCTTCCTAGGAGCCCGTTTTTTTATACAACTTCATTTACCCAATCCTGTCATTAATTCGCATGTCATGTCAACGGTAGCATACTTCAAATGGCAATCTTTTTTTTTAATGAGTCCTCAGATGCTCCGTTGGAAATGTCGTTCTTTCATCGTTTTCTTCAAAATAAAAGCTTGTCTGAGAGAATAATTTCTTAGGGAGTATAGCCACATGATCATGTTAACCACTAAGCATTTCAACAGTGATTTCATCTGGGACGGTACCTTGTGAATTACTGCAAATGACTGCCCCTTTGATGACGGTGCATTCTTGCAATGGCAGATCCCTTGCCAGTTATGAATACCTCAGCCCATCACGGATTCATCGGGTACCCCGTGCAGCTCCTGGACCCTGCTGGCAGTTTGCCCGATGAGTTTGTCTGGAACATCGCCCCCAAGGACCTGGTAAATACGATCCGCTTCCGCTTCACCGGGTTCCACACAGACGAAGAAGTCTCCCGTGGCAGTCCCTGTGAGAATTATCTGTTGGTGGGCGGCAAGAGAAGCCTCCCAGTTTGTTTGTACCAGTATACAGGCGCAAAATCCTTCACCTGGAGTGTACTGTCGAACCAGACCAGCGTTAAGCTCCAGACCACAGACATCTTCAAGAGCAGCTTCGTGGCCGAGTATACAGCAGGTACGTACATGTAGGTCTTTTGGTCGTAGCCAGCACGTCGTCATACAGAATACGCCAGACAGAACACTCAGTTATACAGCGCTATTCCCAGGTTGGGAAAATTAATACAGTTGAACTTCGCTAAGAAGAGCACTGTTAATACAAGACTCTGCTTACAACAAGAAAATTTTAGGTTCCAGTCCTTTGTTTTCATTGTATTCATTCCTGATAATACAAAAGTTCCGATTATAACAAGATAATTTGCCAAGTCCGAAGGACCTCTTATTAAGGAAGTTGACTGTATACATGTACATGTATGTATGAGGTCTCAAAGATATACGCTGTGATCGGGTGAACTGCTATCACGATCAACGGTCGTCAATTTTGACAAAAAGATTATGGGAAACCGGACAATCTTAAACTCTCTACCTTTTTTGGAAGGTTAATTCGTCAAGGAAACCTATGAAAAGATCTATACGTTCATTGCCGGATCTCATGGGATTTTTCGATAGTTTCTCGAATAGAACTTTTGCACTTTACTGCTTGCTGCCAGCAGGCCCCTGCAATACGCTTTACGCTGCCTGCTGTCCCCGAATTACCTGGGTGCGGAAGATCGCCCAGGTTCGTCTACTAGGGTACCTGATAGACCTGGCCCCATAGAGGCAGACCTACATAGGGTATATAGGTCGCCCTGAACATGCGATACCACAGAAACTATATCAGCCCAAACAATAAATATTTCAAGAAGACCAATATTTGGCACGATATGGGCGAGAAGCAAGAAGAGAAACTGTAATAATAAATTCATGTTATTTGTTTACAATAGCTTTTCTTTTGAACCCCGAAGGCATCATGAAATTGGATTTCGCATTTTCTAGATGTTAGAAATTGGGGAGTCTTCAAGCAATTCAAGCCAATGCATTTTCAGCACGGTCTTGAAAACACTCTCGGCCTTCAATGGCTTGACTCCATTTCAAAGGGACTTTAATCCTTGAGTGTTGATTCCAGATACACTTGCTTGACTGTGATGGGCACCATATTATAGCCAACTCACTTAACTGGAAGTAACCTGTGATCCGTTTGCTATGCACTCAGGAGAACCACTACTTCCACTGGTTTCATGGAAAGGCAATTGGGGATAAGGCTAGTGCCTCCAGAATTAGCTCTGTGGACACCTAGCCACACTTTATACATGTACACCATTTTCTTGCTCTGGATGAGGATGCATGCAGTTTTGCTTCGCATTCCCACAGTCCGACGAAACAACCTATCCACACGTTGATAACTACACCCCCTTACGCATTTTTTACTTATCCCTTTCCATACTTTATTTATAGTGATTTTTTTTCAGAGTTCTCGCATACACAAGCAATCAACGTGGACTCCAGCGGCGGTGAAATTACAACACCCAACTACCCTCAGGTGTACTCTCGCCTCTTGAATTACAGAGTCTTTCTGAGGGCGCCTTATGGTCGCCAGGTCGAGCTGACCGTGGGTGACTTCGACAAGGCGATCTGTTTGGCCGGTTATGATTTTGAAATATATGACATGCAGGATGGCGTGGAAGGCATCCCTTTAAAGATTCTTGGAAACTGTTACATGGACATGCCGACCAGTGTAGTGACCAGCAAGGGTGAAATGTTGATTAAACTTATTACAAACAGAAACAGCTACAGTCCAAACATCGGTGGATTTCGGCTCAGATATGCACTTTCTGACGGTAAGTTATGTATCTTGAAAAAAAAACGCACATAAGTCTATGCGTTCTGACTGGTTTAGAGACTTTCACTCATTTGGTTTTCATCACCGATCAGTGATAAGCGCGGGCCTTGAATCCAGACAACAAAATGTGACATCTGCTTGGGTATCCCCCTTTACAAATGCAAAAACCTTTCAATTTCCATGAAGCAGACAGTTTGAAGCTTGCCATAAAGAATTATTCTTTTACATCACATTTCAACTCACCTGAATTTTGTTGCAAATGTTTCGTGACGTAAAATTAGCTTCGCTTCCATGTTTGCTTACAACATGAGCCAGTGGCGTCACTGCAGGGAGGGCGGGCACATGCCTGTAGAGGATGCCTGTGCCCCCGCCTGTGCCCCCAACTTGAAATCTATGAATTTTCTCCGTTGAGTTTATGCAGCAGCTTGTTTTCTTGTGACGCGCCCTTGAAAAAAATATGTGCGCCACGGGTGTCCCTACCATTTAGCCCCAGGTGACGCCACTGACCAGCCGTGATTAAGAAAAGTAAATAACCGGAAAATTGGGAGCCACTTTCACCTTTCATAGACGGAGTATATCCAACTGAGTTTGACACGAAAACCTAAAATGGAAACTAAAGTGGAAACCAAACAATCAAACACGTCAGTTGAGATTTTCTGTCGCTAACCTCGTTTGCCTTTTTGTGTATCTCCCTTTTGATATTATTTACTTTTATGTAATTAGCCTACAATAACAATTACAGTAATTATAGCAATACCGGTAGCATTCCACCGACTCGGAGCCATGGATTTCAGGGTTTAATTCAAATTTGGGGAAAAAAACCCACGTAATCTGTAATCGGTGTTGTCGGCCCTGAAACCCCTGATCACAGAATGGGCGTGATCACCTTATACCTACAACTGGTGTGCACTGAGTAATCTCCTAAATTTAAAATGAGACTAACACGATTTACGCTTGAACCCTACCAGATGCAAATTACGTAACAGTCCTGCAGTTGAATCTGCACTCTACGAACCATTATTCTTATTTTGTTGAATTTATCAAGACCGGGAATGATGCACGTTTGGTACTCTGTTCAAAAGACATGTACCTCATTAACGGGTATTTTGTATTTGAAATTAGAAACAGACTCTGGCAAGTACAAAGACCTCGAGAATGACAGGAATACCATGCAATCAGCCCTGATTGGTGTTGGTGTTGGTGCTGGGGTGGTTATCCTTTGTCTGGTCGCAGTGGTATTGAAGCTGTCCACGAAACAAGGCTCGAAGTCCAGACCGAGTGTGCAGGCCACTCAAAACAACGGTAACGGTAAGCTTAAGTGAACGATTAATTGGCCTTATGCACGAAAGCAAGCTGAAAACGCAATTATTACTTGGCTAATGGTAAACAAGAAATATGATTTGCCTCATCTGCATTCACAGCCGTTTAACTAGTAACTTGAAATAGCTTGGTAAAGGTTTTTTGGACTAATAAGTACCTGTACAACTCAGCCTCATAGTTCTCTTTGGGTTAGCTAGCCAAAAAAAAAATGTTTGGCGCAAAATTCATTACTCGATCAAGTAAGTTTGGTTTGTTTCTCTGCTTAGAGCTTTATTTAAACGACGCCATGGAGGTGGACATTTAAAATATTCAGTCAACATAAAAGATGTTGAGTTCCCCGACTACGGTACCTGTCGTATGAACTTCAACAATGGACAGCCTTACGTCCAAATATGATGAGTTGATAAAAGCGCCCATCATTTCTGCTTTTTAGGCGGAACTTGCGTCAATAATGATTGCGTAAGTTACACCATAATTTGTGACACAGTCCGCGGACTGAGGCAACTTTCGATAAAGTTGCGCACTGCAGGTGAAGTTTATAAAAAGTCTTATTAAAAACCCATGGACCCCGTCACTGCAGGCAACAATTGTTTTGTTATACCATGGTCCAAGATTTCAGTGGAATATCTTTTATCTGTAATACATGTATTAAGCATATTTCATTGCAAGATAAATTAAAACAGTTCGACAAATTTAAACACGTGAACAGTAAATTAGACATAAATTATTAGGCAAATTGTTGATTGTGATGTCCTCTGTTGACCAATGTTTTTATTGTTTGCGGGAGGGGGAGAAATCGAGGATAAAAAAACTGGTTAAACAGAAACGTGATCCATGAAAAATGGGGGGTTTTCTTGAGTGGTTGAAATTCAAGGTATTATTTACACCAAGATCCGTTGAAAAGTATTGACAAGATTGAAGAATGGACGAGAAGATACAATGGCATGAGCATTTCATATAAACAGCTATGGCGATCACAGCAAAAGCAGTGATCAGAGTATGCTCGTGTTCCAAGAGCGAAGTAGTACCGCCGAGGCTATCCACCCTCGTACCTAAAGCTACACATTTACAATGCAGTAGACGCCACACATCAACTCTGGGAAAGATCACCGTGATCTATCATTTTTGCGGCCAGGCAAAATTACCAGCCTGAGTGCGCGCGACGCGAGAATGATACACGTGCAGTAGTAGCATATCACGTGATCAATGCGCGACCAATAATTCACTATCTAAGACCGTGGTATAACAATGTGGGATAATTGGGCAGCAGGAAAAGTCCAATGATGTGGTTAGAAGTGTATCAAAAGATTTTTTTGAAGTATTGGAGAGTGTTGTGAAAGGTCAGATAAATGTCTGATTACAGGAAGTGTTTGGTCATAGACATATCGGCTAACTCGTCAGAAAAAAATTCCTCAACAGAATCAAATTGCAAAGGCACTTGTATATGTGCGCAGCCTACTTGCCAAAGCATTGCCTTCAAAGGTGAACTAGAAACAACACCGATAATGACTGAGCTTATTGTCATTTTTGCGCTGTCTTATCTTGTAGTGATCGCTGTGCAACCGGTCAACCAACGGGCCGCCAATGTGGGCGAGGACAATCGCGCCTTCAACATCTAACGGCACCTTACAGGATCCAGAAATCTCTAGGATGATGACAAAGCAATGAAGAACACTAAGCTGCAACTCAATCAACGCAAATGATTCCTGCAAAATCTTGGTTTTATAAAACATTCCACCCATAAATACAAATGAGCAATCACTGTATTTTTTCTTCATTGATATCTTTGGAAATTTGTGATGAAAGGTTGCTCGAGTAGGTCTTATTAACGACAGCAAACCCGGGATCAGTTTCAGCGCTAATGTTGCATTAGCATGTCAAACATACACGTAGCTGTAGTTTGAACACTATGCAACGATGCACAAATGCACAATGTACAGATTAGTTGGTCAGGATCCTGTAGTTCTTCACTTTTAGGTACACTTACTGTACATGATGTGCTTAACTAGTCTCAGTCTGAAATATTACGAAACTGTTTTGCTCATGAAGATTATAAAATTCAAACTGCAATTATCTCATAAATTAGTTCAATTTAAAATCATTGTAATTATAAATAACTGTCAAGTTAATTACCCACCAAGTGCTTCTTTATTTTAATAGTTTATAAAACTTTCTATGACATTTTACTCGGGTGAGAGCCATCCCTGCTTTTTACTTTTCATTTACCTTTGTATTTGCTACCAGTACCAATTAAACTTAGATAGCAAGTCGTTTTTTCTGCAAACGTGGCTTCCCCAAACCATCACCCCATGCCTTGGACAATGCCTTGGACAAAGGCACACTGACTGAATATTATTTTAAATGAAGGAGTTTCGTAAAACTACATTTCGTTTTAAATCCCACTTCCCTGATGTTCTAGGCATCTGAGTATCACAACACTCTGGTGTTAAAATCAACACTTTTTGGTGTTCTCAGATGACCACACCCTAGGGTGTTACTTTAACACCGCTGGTGTTACAGTGCACTGAGGATGTTAAAATAACACCAAATAACACCAAATTTTTTAACACCAGAGAACAGTGTTGGTGAAGTCTCCTGATAATACCGGGGGTGTTAAATTTAAGATCTTTGTTTGGCAGTGAACTGAAAGTGAACGACATCCCCAACCCGAAAACCGACTGTACAGTGATATGTTTAAACACATAGGTCTAAACCGATGAATCTGAATGTCCACTTTAACATAATTATTGTGGCAGCAGCGCCTATCCCAGTACTTGTCACACCATTTGTGGTGAGGGGATACCAGTGCCTTTTCCCACAAATATTCATGAACCTTACGCACAGGTGAGTGGTCACCTGCAAAATATTAACGAAACGCAGAGAGAAACAGCTTGCTTTGTGGAAATTGTCCACCGTACTATCAAGGGAAGACATGACCATACAGATATCAGAACAATAAGATACAAGGAAACCTCAATTCCAGTATCACCACTTAGAAAGGTGTCAAGGAAACTATGCAGAGATGCTTGCTTTTGAAACAAATCGGGATTTGATCAAATCAGGATGAACCAGGCACACCGAGATCTCATGCGAGCTGTGAGGACAAACAACATTGGGAGTTACATGACAATTCTTCCTACTCCTAGATGTCGTTTTGGTACTCAACCGTCCCAATTATGCTCGTTGGGGCGTACTCTTTCCCACCAAACTAACTTGCAATTGCAGACCCGATGATGTGTTCGGTACTAGGAAAAGGAACGTCCAAGGCCTTTTCCAGGGCAGCAGTAGACCTGCCAATGGACCAAAGCATTAACAGAGATCTTTTTTTCAGAGATGCGGCATGTCATTTTTTTAGAGATGCGGCATGCCAAATGACAGGAATCTTGGATTCCAGAACTCCAATTCAATACGGCATTGGTGTATGACATCAAACCAAAGAGGAATGTCAGTGACAGAGTAGCGACGTGTAACAGGCAGGACTTTTACCTGAAGAGCAGCCAAGAACACACTTCCTCCATGTCGAATCAAGAAAGATAACTGCCAAATTAAGCCTCTGTTAAAGGCTGTAAGTGAATCATGTAATCTCTGCACCTGCCATCTCGTCTTCCAGCCTGTTGAATATTACCGGAGGAAGAAGAGCCTTCTCCACTACACAGGAGTACCTCATTGATTCGCCGTGCTGGTCGTGGGCTGCAGCTGAAATTCAGGGAGGAATGTGCCGAGGACAGCTCCAGGTTACTGAAGCCAATAAAACGGTGAAAAGTAAATAAATTTGCATGTGAGAACGCATTGGAATCTTCATATACCAGCTTGTTTCTCATGATTTACGTCATTCTTTTCAACGTGTTTCAAACTAATTATGTTATTCACTAACACCAGACTAGACAGTCATACCCCTCTTGTTCAGACTTCTCCAGCAAAAAAGACCATTATTAAATACCAAGGCCCAAAACGTTGCAATTCATTAAGTCGTATACCCTCCAAAGAGCCTCCGGTAGTGAACAGTCAACGAGACAAGTTAATTCCATATGCTGGTGGTTATTTCCCAAAACACCAACATGTCACTATCTACCCCATCCCAGATGTTCCTCTATCCATCATTCCTCCTGATGGTTCAATCATAAACACGGAAAAGAGCAAGCTGGAGTCAATGCAAGATGGCATGGAAACCCTTCCTCATATTGCTGCAAGTTTGATTGATGGTGGACTACTGCTTCATTCGTACCCTTCGGCGATTGGCCACATATCATCCTACAAAAGTCTTGCAAGAAGTCTTTTGAGCCATTTGTGCACCAGCTTTAGCAATTGAAAGGAAATACACTTCGTATTTGACAGATACGTGCCTGATTCACTGAAAGAAAGTGAACGGAGATTGCGTGGGGTGGAGGATTTTGTCATGGTAGTGAGCAACGGCCAAAACAGAATTGCCAAAAGCTATTACAGAATGGCAACATCAAGGATGAACTGGCCAGATGACAATACTGTAACCTTCATCAATTTCTCGTGAAGCATGTCATCACGAGAGGAACTGAAGCAAGAAATGGCTTAGGTCTACATGTCTTTCCTATACGGAATGAACGCATGTCTTGACATACCATCTTTAAATGATGATTAGAAGTCTTGATACTTCTTGATTTTCAATCATGTATTATATAGTTATAACTGTAATGTTTGGCTTGCAATTCAATGAACAATTTTCTAATTCTATGTGTGATTCAATTAAATATACTTGTTTTTGTGTAGATTCTTAAATTTGCTGTTCTATATTACAAATATTTTAAACTAATTTCCAGTCTTATTATACTTTTCACTTTAGCATCATCAATTTTATTAATACATATGTAATTAAGCCTCCAATATCCAGATACTATGTTATGAAAGAAAGGCATTATCACTACCGAAAATCCATAGTAGGTTGTATTATGGTCAAGCGCCATTTTGTCGCAGGCCGTGAAAGACGGCGTCTTTATTTATGAACACTGGAGGGCGTATCCTTCCCAGCACTGAAGCACCATGCAGGCGTGGAAGTTCAAATATCAGGAAGTCTGTTCAAAACTGCTTTTGTGTAAAATATTAGCCACCAAAATTGAATTAGCGATGTCACCTAAAGGAAGCCGTTAAAAGGTTAAAGATGCCTCAAATCTGATTCTATTGCTATTTACAAATCCTGCTGTCTGTTCTAAAAGAAAACGTGTCTCATTGGATTTTTACGTCTAAAGTTACGTAATGACTATATATCGATCTTTGCAAGCCAAGAATCAAGAATCTTTGTCTCAGTAATTACATATTCATGAATAGGTGGAGAATTTGCCCTATGGTGCTTTCTACTTTGGGGTACCACAAAAACCCGGTGAGTGAGGTGAAATTGGCAGTAGTGCCTTGAACCTCACCGCTTAAAGGTAACAAAAATAGAAAACATTTACATGTAGTTCACTTAAAGTATATTAAAATAACAATAACCACGGAATCATTTCAAAACATCACAAATTTAACGTTTACCCCATTAAATGTGACCCAAAAATGAGTAAAAAGATCATGCGTTTCCCCGCCTACAAAAAATCCCCTCTTGGCCGTTTGCGCTCCAAGGCTGATTGGATGACGTCATCGCCAGAACGCTTACATGTACAGTGTACATGTACATTGTACATGTGGTATCGCACGCTTCAATAGACCAAGATACGTGAAGATGTAGCTTGGCCCACAGGCAATTAAACACTGTCTCAATTCAAGGTAGAAATTTATAAGGACACAGTCCTAAGGTGTATCTCTTGAACTAAGACACTCAGTTCGAGCAGCCGACTCATGAACAACAAATCGAACTGTTCGTGAACATACTAGAGCTCGCTGCCCGAACTCGGCCAATAAAGGCGGCAATGCGTATTCGCATAGCTTAATTAATAAGGTGCAGAAAAGTGTCAAAACGATTTTCTGTTGACTACATCAAAATGTGAACTTTTCAGTGCATGGAAAAGCCAGAGGAATAAAAAATAACTGAAGGAGATACAATAACCTGGAGGAGACAGGTTTGTGATGTCATGAGGGGGCATATTTTTCAAAGGGGGCAGGTTTTCCGTTGGGCAGGGGGGCAGACAGACCTGGAGGGGAGGCAGGCAGACTTATTTCTGTCCGGAGGCTGTCAGGGGATGGGATTTAACTTTGACAATGGCGTAACCGGGGTAAATTCGAGAGCATCTAGGGAGAATTAGGGGCACTGAAAGCAAACGAACTGCGAACAGGTTTTATTCAGTCAAAATTCAAACGGGATGGGGCAACGGGGGATCATGTATTCTCCCTAGTTATAGCACTAATATTATGACCATTACTTTTCCCAGATTTCTTGGAGAGGGCGTGATACATTTTTAAATGAATTGTTTAGGCGCAGAGGGCGCCCTTTACTTATCAATTTATCGGGCTGTAGATAAAAGAGGGCGCTATGCAGTTTTGCCTCTCGGTTTTTAGACTCTGCAGAGGGCGCCCTACAATGCATTTTTTAAAACCCTAATTAGTCTCTGTCAGTAGAGGGCGCTGCATACTATATCAATAGAGGGCGCTATTTATTAAGTCAATAGAGGGCGCTATATCAATAAGATCAATGGTCAATGGAGGGCGCTGTTTGTTCGCGCGACGTGCAGACATGAGCGGATGTCGTTGGATGTGCATGTTGAGGCCAGGTGACTACTTGATTTCAAGTTTTATAGTTTCGAGAAACACGTGCCTAAAATTGAGAATTGATGCAGATTGCTGGAGAATGTAACAGTGTCTTCAACCAGTGTGGAGATATTCTGCAGGTAAAGTAAACGGTTTGCACAATAGCGAGGGCAAAGTCGCGGACCCGACATGACTAGCCTCATTGATATCAATGGCCGAGTTCGGGCGGCTTGTTCCCGTATGTTCACAAACAGTTCGATTTGTTGTTCGTGGGTCGGCCGCTTGGACGCCGGGAACAAACAACTGGTTACCGCTGGTAGTTAGTGACAAGCAACATTCAACGTGGCGGCGTCCATGTAGGCTACGTTATTTGAGAGTTAATACTTGGATGGGCTGAATTTTTTTCTATATAAACAGGAATGTTCATTTCTGTGTTACGGAAAATAATTAATGTTAATTTTGCAAAACTTTCCATTTTCTATGGCTTTGAAAGCCATCTCTCTACTTTTGCAGCTGTTCAAAAATCAGAATCTCATGAGTTTTTCCGTGTTTTCCTGTAAAACCCTGAGGAGGAGGTGATGTGTGATCCTGTTCCGAGAACAGTGTTCTTGAGTAATATTCCTGCCGTTCGAGCGTGAGAACAAGAAACCTGTGTCAAGAAAACAGGCCGCCCTAACTCAACCAATGTGGCCTACACGCTGCGCTCCCACTACTAGCCACATGCCCATAACATGCATGTAGGTCTAGACCTACCAAATTTTTGTTGACTTTTTCAAGTGCTTCGAAATGACAGCATTTTCACAATTGGAATTGCTTGATGTATGCCATACATTCGTGCACATTGACGTTGACAGCTCAAATCATCATAACGTCAAACATCAGGCCTAAACTGCCTGTGCGTGGGTAAACAGGAACTAGCCGTCCCCCTTAACTCCTGGTGTTGTATTTGTATAATGTGAGGTCATGGTTTAGGGGTCACAAACTTGACGCCATGATGACTCGAGTTGTCAATGTCAATATACACGAACGTATGAAGTTCAAAAGTTAGCTGCAAATTTCTCGAAAAGTAGAGGTAAGATTACGTAGTGAAGGATTGATTTAGAAGCGGAGAGGGTATAGCGTACATCGAGCAACTCCAATTGTGAAAATGCTTTCTTTTCGAAGCGCTTGAAAAAGTCAACAAAAATTCGTTATATGGGCATGTGGCTGTAGGGGAGCGCAGCGTACCGTAGGCAACATCTATGGGGCTTTGACACGACCACCTTGTGTGGCGCTGGCACGAACACTTGCTACCACTCTATCCTACCTTAGCCACACATCTATATGGGTGTCGGTCACCTTATCCCTAACCACTTCGCCCCATTTCCACATCGCCCCATTGATTATCTTTCATTCTGTTCTTCAGTGACAGAGACATAGGCCTAGATGCAACAACTTGAACACGTGAAAACATCGACAGGAGTAGCAAAATACCCCGCTACGCAAAAATAACCCCTAAAAATCCATGGCTACATAGTTGAGTGGAGGTTGTTCAACCTGTAGGTTATCCTTGCGTCAAGGTATGTGTTGTGTATAGCATTGAAGTCATTTTTTGAGAATGAAGCACTCACTTGCATGCAACTCACTAGGGGAAGACTAAAATTTTTTTAAGTCCAATGTGGCTCCTGGGGAGTGGCTAAATGGATACAGGGATATGAAGTGGGCCTTGTGGATGGAAGCTTGACTCCGTTTCCATGGCTACGGGGTGGGCAAGGTGAGTGGCTGGGTATTCTGTAATTGTGCCCATCGACGTTTAAGTACACAAATAACAATTGGAGAATCCAAATTTCAAAGGCCGAAACAATGATTCCAATTTCCCTACTGCTGGACCCCAATTTTTTGGTGAGACCCTAAAAATTTTTTTGGCAAGTTAGAAAAAAAAAGTTTTGTGTTTACTTGTCGCCGTGGTGAAAATGTGAGCAAAGCGCTGGTTCCCGCTGCACTGCACCTGTGTAAGAGAATGCATGAGTGTGGCAACCAGTCTATTCATCCCATGGGGATGGTGTACATGACTTCACACATTGAAAAAACATTGATGTTGCAAGATTTCTTCAAGTTAAACCACAGAACCTTGTATCTTTATAGTGTGTTTATTTTCTGTGAGTTTAATTTCAGGTTGTTTTGCTCGTTCTTGAAGTGAGCATGTTTCCACAAAGTTTCCTGCAGCGGTGTGCGAAGGTTTATTCGTGCCCGGGCACCTGTCTGTTGATGCATCGACAATTACCAGAACAGTGTGTATTGCTTTGAAATAAACTTAAAGAGGATGAGAAACAAATTCAATGCTAATCCAACCAATTCACCATGGACAGCGTAGTCGACATTAATTGAGTGAATGCCGTAGAGTTTTTATGTACATGTGCAACTCCATGCCGTATGTGGAACTCCTCTCTTGACCAATTTTTTGAAGAGGCTTGTGCTTGTAACACACTCGAGTACGGACGGGGCCAAGTTGAAATCGGAAAAAAGTGCGGATAGGGAGATGAGGCGATGTAGGTATTGGGCGAAGTGGTTAGGGGCAACGTGGAAATGGGGCGAATTGACTGTAAAGCGGCAACAACCATCACTCGACTGTGACATGTTGGTCATGTCATGTTCATATTTCATTATTTGTATTGCCTATCTATCATTTCTGTTGTACATGTATGCAGGATTGGTCCGAGTAACTGGAACTCTACAAATTGGTGGCTGGTCAACTGGTACGCGTGCCAACTTGTGCGCTGACGTGGTGTACTCCCAGGATTTGTGAGACACTCTCTGTGTGCCTCACAGATGCAACTTTTCATTGCTTTGTAACGTTATGATATTCTGAATGTGCCTGTTTACTCTGTCTAATACTGCACTGTTTCAATTAAATCTTCCCCTGAAAGCGTCCATACCACAAAAAATATCTTGTCAATGCGTACATGTACATGTAGCAGTGATGGTTTTTTGGACCGTCTTTGTGCAAGTTTTGGCAAAAATCAGACTTTTTACTCATGATATTGCCTCGCCTCTACGAACAATCAGCACATTTAGACAGTTTTAGACAGAGTAAGCACTTTCAGAATCCCATAACATTATAAAACAATGAAAAGTTGCATCTGTGAGGCACACGAAGAAGGCCTCAAAAATTCAGGGAGTAGACGTGGTGCACCAATGGACCTACCCATGATTGTACCCCAAATTGTGTTGTCACATCAGTATGATAATTATGGTAAGTGTGAGGATGTGTGCCGTTGTGTTGCCGTAGCCCTCAATAATGTGTTGGATTTTTCCCCCGATTTGACACCCATCGGTCTTCTACTGGTAGAATGTGTGCTGTTGTGTGTATCAATGCTTTTTAATGGTTTAACCACTTGCTGCCGGGTGGTTTGAAAAATGCAGTGCACATAATTGGGACTTTTCCATGATTTTTAGTTTTCAAAATTCTTCAAAAATTCATCATTTCAATTAATGGACGTTTACACCCACATGAATTACTGTCTGGTGGCCACTCTAGACAGACAAAATCTATTGCTGCCTGAGTATTTCAGCCAGGCCTGCAGCCTTGTAAAAAGAGCCCGAATTGTGCGGCGTTATATAGCTTTCTTTTGTTCACGAACCTGGCACAGTGCGCTGCTGACCTCTTTTCAATAGTGGCCAGATTAGTGTGCAGCCGGGCTGTGTGGCTCAGTACCGCAGCGGTGGAGTGCTTTTGTCCTCGGTGGTAATCCGCTCGCTCTAAATGCCCCAAACCGTGGTATACTGTTTCAAAACAAGGCTGGATTATCTCTGCTATTGAGAGTGAAAGAATGTTGGTAATGCCCAGCAGCCTGGTCTTTTGTTCCAAGTACGGTCTTTTGTTACAAGGCCCAGTTCCCTTTGTCCCACATCGGTTCCAGGGCTCCGTGTATAAAGTCTACGTGCTTGAAAACGGGTCCCCCCGGCAGCAAGTGGTTAACATTAACTTACCAATGACAAGGCACCACACAAAATAAGTGGCTTAGTCTTGTACTTGATTAAATTTTGATTAAATTTGGTTGATGCTGTTTGTTGAATACTGATTATTTTCTGAAATTTGTACATGTAGTTCTGAAGGGAGATTTTCTTTATGCATCAGACTATTTAGTAAAAAAGCATCATTTTCCAGTCATTCGACTTCAGGGGTCAGACTAAAACTGAGAGCGTGCAGGGTTCTCCCCAGGACTTTCCAAAATGTTTTTGGCATTTGTTGTGGTTCACTAACAATTGCGAAGCCACGGCGTGGTGTTTGTGGACTCTACATGCTTGCTGGTGCATTCTAGAGCATTTCCTGAGCTTTTCAGTTGCTTTTTTTAACTGGCAAAATGAGACTGATTTAATGGACATTTTGCAAAATTTTGTTAAATGACCACTGCTTTTTCTTTTCCATATATCACTTCACATGTCAGACACAAACACATTGATATGAACACTTAACACATTGGCAAAACAATGGTTCTGTTTCTTTTATGTAAAGGGGATACATGTCCATATAATAAAATTATATTGACATGAGAGTAAATTCTTGCATTTAATAACTATCTGAGGACAGTTGAAACAGATGGCGCTGACAAAAAGTTTGCTTTGTCTTGTAAATATGAAGTGAGACAAAACATTGACATCATAAAATAATACATATAAATAAATGTTTATGTGACATACATGTAAACTAAAATAAGAGGTAAGCAGGCAAAAAGCATGTTATACCTGACTTGTTCATAAGACATTACACTTGTGGTAAAATGTACATGTAGTTGAACTTCAGTGAAATGAAACACAATTTGACTTGAGATCATTCCACATGTGTCTTTACTTCAATGTTGGCTGTTTCAATTACTTAGGTTTCGACCGTTCCTCCCTGCCGCCCGCTGACGCGATTGGCTTAAAAAAGAACCAATTGAAAGTTTTACTGTACTTTTTCTGTCATGATTGCGTGCTCTGACCTGGCCCAGTCGTGGTGCATGTTGCACGTAGACTGGTTCCGCGATGGCCCCCGTCAACTAGTAGTATCTTAAAGTGAATAGGAGATGGGTAGTAGTGTTGAAGTGAAAACCGAAGCAATATGAAAGGGCTGCGTAGCACCGTGATCAGAATAGAGACAAAAATATAATATATAATCAGTTCTCTGAATTATGTAATTGCCAAGCTTTCAGTAACTGGGTACCTTCGGGCAAGCAGATTCAGTTTGTGTTGCGCAATTCCTCTTGGTTACATGATGTCACATGAGTAATATGGTTCCTGTCGCAGGTGCCTTCATCATATACTGCCACGTTGATGAAGGAATAGGGTCGATGCAGCAAGCACTGTGAATGGTGTAGCCTAGCATTGTGCTCCCCACACAAGAAGCGTCAGATTGCGCTTTGAGGCATCTTTAACCTTGCATGTGGTAGGCAGTGCGCACGAACGGACTACGAATGGAACGGACTACGAGGGTAAGGATTTCATGGAACATCGGCCTGAGTGCATTATACATGGCCGTTGAATACTGTGCAATGTGTTGGGTTGACTATGTCGAGCATGTACACACGTGTGTATGTATGCGACACAAATTTTTTATAGTCCTACTGCTGTGCTTGGTCCAGCTGCATCGAGCTGGAGACGGACCTTCACCATGAAATCCTTAAGCCTACTTGCCGTGTAATTATTGTAATGGTAGGCCAACAAATATTGTGCGTATCGGGGATCAAAAAATGAGTATCGCGCATTTTTCTTGCTTATCAGCAATGATCAAGGAAAGAAAATATACGTATTGGGTCAATACACAGGTTTGTACTTGGGGAAAAACCCTGGCGTGCAAAGTTGCTGCACTAGTTGGTCGGCGTATGAGTTGGGCGGCGTGCAAGTTGACTTTACCACATACGAGTTGGTGTATGAGTTGACATGTGTACTTCCAAAATGGGCCTTAAACTGTAATGTGCCCACCTTAGGATTCAGTGGGGTGACTGTTTCCTGAGTGGCACAACGTCCGATGTACAACACCAGGTGGTCACAGCTGCCAAACATTGCATTGCCAAGGAAACAGATGTTGCTATACGAGTGCACATTCTTCAGGCTCAATTTTGAATGGTCCGTTCGGCTGGTCATCAGGACGTTTGACATTCTCCCTGTTTTTTTTGGCATACAGTCCGAATAGTGTAAGAAAAAGATGACATCTTTAAATCAAGCTGAGCAATCTAGAATTTCTGATTTGAAGGGGAAATTTCTCTTTTCTTCTTGAATGTAAGTAATCTTTAATGCCATCATAGGAATGTCCAATTCCTACTGAATTCTACAGTGGGTGCATTAGCCAGTTTAAGGACTGTTTTGGAAGTGAATTCTGAGGATATCGAGTCCTAGTTACTTGCATTATTGTAGCTCCATAATGTTGCTTCGAATAGTGAGCCACATGATACAATTCACTTTATGTGTTGAGAGTACCCATTGCTAAGGGCCCCCGAAAATGAGATTTTTTCCATGCTTAAAAGTCAACACGGCATATATTGGCAATTGTTTTTTGCACCTATGGCTCTCTGGTTATGTTGAAATTTCAAAGCAAAGTTAGAGCAATGTTGCCCCATAACTTCCTTGATGGCAGCGATGTTGTGCTGAGGGTGAAGCATAGGGCACTCAAAAAGTCTTACCTACAACTGTTGCGTGTCATTGTCACATTTATTGATTGGATCTTTACAAAGCATAAAGCGTGCACATAGAAAGGACATGCTACAGTCAAAGCTCACTGCAGGATCCATCATCAAATTTTTCCGTCTTGTCCAAGATACCTTCACTTACATGTTACAGACAGATGGTCAGTGGGTGACCGCTGCCAGAACAGAAAATCTGGCACTACCTAGGCTGCCAGGTTAGACCTAAACTCTGGTCAGCTAGACAAATTCTAGCTAAAGCAGCGTTGTTCTGGTCAAAACCATTCTCTATTAAAGTTGTCTGGCGGTCTACACTAGTGTAAAACCACCAAGATAGGCAAACACGGTTCCTCGGAGTGAGATGGTCATCTGAAGACAGTCATTCTTGCTAATCCAGGTATCCAGTTGATGTTTTGTGTGTTCATCTTTGCAGGTAAACTGTGTGGTAGACACTGACATCCTCCATTGCCATGGAGACAACTGTGCTTGCAGAGGTTACCAACCGAATTCCAAGTCAGAAAGTAAAGGTACATGTATATGTAATATCAGTTTCTGTTGGTGTACCTTTCTGAAAACAACACCCATTAAGTTCAAGCATGTTTTTTCTTGTTATGTGGGTGGAAAGATTCTTTCAATATCCATCTCATAAATCAATGTGACACCTGAAAGAGGGTTCTTGGCCAAAATGACTTCAGAAAGGTTTCACACTTTTACTGAGTTTCTGATCTACGCCAAGTATTTTAGTGGGCCCCCATGTTAATAACTCGTCCATTTTCTTCTGCAGCTGACTTCAGGACATGCACACAGTTTATATTAAAATGACCAAAACCCTCCAAACATTTTTCTTTAAATTTGAAGAAAAATTCCCTTGCAAATAGCAGGCAAAAATAAGGTTTGTGGCCATCAACAGTCCAGCAAATGTTAGTATTATCCAACCTCCATATGCTAAAAAGAAGTAAAAGAACGATGTGATAAAGGTACAGATGTTAAAATGCAACTTTCAAGGTAATCATTTCAACTTATGATTATTCAAGTGACATGCAGTCTTTTATCCCGAAGCAACCCCGGTGGGACATTTCTCTGATTTTCCCCAGTACCTTCCAAGTGTCTTGGTAGAGCTGCATGTGTTCTCGTGCCAGTGTTCAATCATTGTGTGCTGCATTATCAATAACCTTTATGTATGACATATTTCCCTGAGACTTCAGAGTTGTGGGAATTCCTTCAACTTTCCCTTTCCCTGTATGGAAAGATGTGTGTTAGAATTCACCCTCCCATGGTGATCTCATAACACTGGACATTGTAAAAGGGACAAGATTTGATATACAGGATGTATCAACAAAAAGTATACAGTCAAAAAATTAACTGCAAAATAAAAATGTGAACATTTTTCGAGATTCTTTTCTCCTACATGGGTTGATAGAGTATCATGCTGTTATTAAACTTGTGATCATGAACAGATTTTCATGCCTGAGTGACTAGGAGCTATTTTCCTAAATCACTCAAAAAATGGCTTGCACAAACACTTGCTTTGTTTAGAGTTGGATCAAAAGTCCATGTATGAAGTGTGCTTTCAGAAATATAATTTACTTAACCCATTTAGTCCTCCACGTAACCACCATTTCGTTCCACACAGATTCATGCCCTTCTCAGTATGTCGGAGACAGCACGCCTGATTATTGCTCTGTTTTGCCTAAGAGCATTGATCTCAGCAGTGATCCTTCCTTCAAGGTCATCCAGGTGCACTGGTGGAGAAACAAATACCTTGGACTTCAAATGTCCCCACAGGAAAAAGTCCAATGGCGTCATGTTCGGTTGATCTCGGTGGCCATTCCACAGGCCGATGCAATGCAATCACACGGTTATCAAACAGTTCTGTCAGGTGCTCTGTAACCGTTCTCCTCCTGTGTGGTGGAGTACCATCCTATGTCCACCAAGCCCTTTGAAACAATCCATTTCTTTGGCGACGATAACGAGGTATTTGATCAATGACTGGAATGATATTGGCATTGATCATTTGTAAGTACATGTCACCATTCATGTTGTTGCGAAAGGAGAATGGACCAATAATGTTTCCGTTCCCAATCAAACCTACCCAAACTGTCAGCTTATGTCTGTCATCACTGCGTTGATAGTCAAAATCAAGTGGTCGCTGGCCATGGGGACGATATTCTCTGATGTTGTGGGTACTCGCAGAAGCGTTTAAGGCAAATCCTGTCTTGTCTCCAATAATCAAATCTTCATGGAAGCGTGCTTGTTGGCCAAGGAGCCACTGGAAAAACTGTAACTGTCGCTGATGATCATGTGGAAGAAGCTGGTGTCGTTTAACCATTTGGTAGGGGTGGAAGCGTAAATCCAAGTGACTTATTCTATTGAGTGTAGCAGAGGGTAACCCAAGTCCATTACGAAGACAGCACAGCAGTGTTGTAGGTCAAGGCCAAAACCTCCGAGGCCAAGACTGAGGCCGAGCCCTCTGAGGCCACAGCTACCAAAGCCTAGGCCCAGCTTTTGGTATACATCCCAACAACAAATTAAATCGACCACTCAAAACCAAGCAAGATTTTATTTTGCAGTTAATTTTCTGACTGTATACTTTTTTTGATACACCCTGTATAAATGAGCTCAGACTTGTCCTAGCTAGTCGACTAGGCTTTCCCAACCTAAATACACGTGAAGACCTTTGAATTACTTGTTGTGTCTGACCCACTAAATTTGTACAAGGTGAAGCTTCTCAACCACACACACTTCATTTGTTTCTAATTTTGGAATTGTTTCATATTTCGTCTTTTTTTTAATACGCAGCAATGAAAAGGTGACACTTTCTTCACGTCACACAAACACCAGTGGAAGTTTTATTGGCTATCAGAGGTCACATGACAAGGTAAAAAATTATGTTCTTAAATTGTGCTAGCTGCCTAGAGTCTGAATCTTCAAACATGTGTTACTGCACAACTCTTTAGGGTTCAAAAACTTGCCTGAAACACAGAGTTGTGACATCATTTCAGACTTGTAATCACAGTTATTCCTGCTTTATCATCGTGGATGTAAATTGAGAGCAGTTTTTGGCAAGTGAAGCACTTTCTCAAAGGATTTGCAGTTCCTGCATTTAAAAAGTAATTGGCAAACTCACAAAGGAAGAACTTGTAGACTAACTATTTAATTCTGAACTAAAGCTGGCAAACTTCCCCTTTCCAAGTAATTAGATAGGGCTCAAAACCTCTTTCATTTCAGTTTCAGAAAAAAATGATTTCAACAAATACAAAAAATGACCTTGCTGCTTTAGGAAATCTATTTCGTCCAACAAAAGCTATAAAAGCACTAAGAGAAATGTTGAAATGCGGTGTCTTATGTGAAATTTCAAAAGTGACAAATTCATGGAGACTTAAAATGATATGTTGATCGAAGCAGTTTGATGAGAAATGGAAGATTTAGGGCCGGGTCTCATTACAAGGAGCTGCAACACTTTGAGTGCAATACTCTTTCAAACAAAACATACTGGTTTTTATCCTGTATAACATATCAAATTTTAATTAAGAAAATGTATGCTTTGGGAATAGCTAGGACCTCAGCCTGTACATTTAGAGTTCATACTGGAGGTCTGTTTTCAATTTCTTCATTGAGATTATGAAATCGCAGAGTCCTGACGTAGGTTTTCCTTAGAACCATTCACTTCAAATAGCTTAATATAGTAGCTTTCACTTGGAGATTGCAGTTGGATACGTTCAACATTTCCTCATTTGTTCCCTGTGGTAGCATGCTCAGTTGGTCGGGCCAAGTCACCGATGTCTGGTTGTTACAAGACTGAACCCAAGATGTCCCCAGCAACCTTGGAGTCCTTAAACGTTAGTTGGTTGAACCTGTGACGCAAGATGTCTAAGTCGGCTCAAACATTAGTTGGTCCCTCCTTCAGCTTCAGCATCACAGACTTTAAGGCTAGAGCAAGGCTCCAAATCTTGACTGCAACTTTCTTCTGCTGTTTGCTATTGAAAAATGTTCAATTATGAATTCCAAGTTCAGAAACTGTTTGTTAAATTGAATTTAAAGAAAAGGCGACATGTCTCTTCAAAAGTGATGGTCTTTGAAATCAGAGACTTTTTCCGATAACGTTTTCAAACTGTTGTAGTTTTGTGATGAACAAATTTCACAGTGTTGGCATTCAGCCAGAGAGTTTGCAATAAAACAGGTAAAGTGAATGAATTTGATACCAAGTCTCTTCATTTCGTTGTAATGTGGTCATTCAGGTAAAAGTTCCATCTATGGACGTCACTAATTTTCACCAATTTTAAGCTTGTTAGCCATCTGAAAGCGATAACATGTCTTAAAAATCTTTTCCAACAGTGACACTGTTGAAGCATTTACTTTGAAAATGAAATTTTTCAGACTAGTAACAGGGTTTTGAACAGGGTGTCAATATCATGTTATGTCCACATATGGGATTCTACGCCATTTATTTTGATATAAATTGAGCTTTGATAGAATTTAATTTTAAGGCTAATTAAATAGCTACCAACAGTTTTTGAATTTTAGGTGGAAAATGTATTCCTGGGGAAGTTTAACTTACCAAGGCTTTAAGGGGAATGTTATCAAAAAGCATGAACTGTGCATGACGTGTACGTTCAGGATGCAAATGATGTAATCTACCAAAAAAGCGTTTGCATCAAGTCTACGATAAGGAATTCCTCTATACTTGGACCGAAAACTTTAGGAAGAATTTGTTCAACGCGAGTAGAATGATTTGCCATACACCTTAACCATAACAGTCCTGAATCTTCCAATTTAAATATGATTTTGCACACACCCTAGGGACTTAGGGTTAATTTTTCCAGGGAATGTGCCGGATAAGAAGCTAAAATGCCCGAAGTTTCTATCTTGGCATCTGCGCATCTAGCATCTTTCTCAGCATCAAGTCTACGATTAGGAATTCCTCCATACTTGGACCGAAAACTTCAGGAAGAATTTGTTCAACGCGAGTCGAATGATTTGCCATACACCTTAACTATAACAGTCCTGAATTCTCCAATTTTAATATGATTTTGCACACACCCTAGGGAGTTAGGGTTAATTTTTCCAGGGAATGTGCCGTATAAGAAGCTGAAATGCCCGAAGTTTCTTACCTTTTATGCAGTGGGGCTGCTTGATGAAACCTGGCGACAGCCACGAAGGGATGAAAAATAAGAAGAAATAGCAAGAGTGGCAGATTAAGGGTCGATGACGAGGTGGAAATGCCCGTGATGTAGGAAGTAACCAGAGCCATTGATCGTCCGATGCCTCTCGGCTGAAAACATGACTATAAATGACAAGAATTAATATGGACAAGCGATGACATAAAGCAAACCACGTGTGCACAAACAGCCAATAAGAATAGAAGAGGGAGGTGTGGCGCGGTGAGAAAGGAATTTGGGAGAACAGAACAGAGACCGAGACTTCGTGGGAAATACGACTTAGAGTTAGAGGCGAACGCAAGGCGTTTAAAATCTGGGCCCTAATTGCGTACACGTTGAAAGAACGGTACTTTGGCTGAGAAAGAGACCAATTCTTTTGTTGGATTCTTTTGTTCAGTCTCCCCTGAACAATGAAAAAGATTGGAGGCTTACGGAGGATTAGACGCCGCTATCTTTCGTTACGCTTGAGTGAACAACAATAGGGAGAATTGAAGCAGAAAATCGCGAAAAACTCGCCTTTAAAAGCATTTCAGGCAACAAAATGATACTTTTTGCAGAGGAAATTGCATAACAAATCTACCTATAGTTTTAAAATTCCAAAATTTGGCCGGATAAAAAAGTTGACTCTTCAAGATTGGCTGATTCTACGCTAAAACTTTCTCCCACTCGCCGTTGGTGGCGCTATAGCATTCAAAGTCCACAATAGTTCGAGGGCCGTCAAGCTACGTGTACATACAAATGTGGTGTTGAGAAAACAAATTTACAGTTTCAATTTTTTAAACTATCATTAGAAAGTTTCAAATAGATCTTCTCTTTTTAAATATATTGTTACCATTTTTTTATATCTTCATTTTTACATTTTGCCTCAAAAATCAAACTAAACATTTCTTGGGAGCTCCAAAGTGCTTTTCGACAATGTCCATCCCCTTGCCACCCGGCTTCAATCTCTCTTTAAAAAAATCCTAAACAACCTATCCTTGCCAATTTTCCGTATACAAAATCTTTTAGAATCCATCAATTACATTAGCTAAGGTTGCACTGGAATATTATTTGTTCCTTGCCTCACGAAGAAAGACTTTTTACCTATTTTATTAAAGCAAACGGCATTTCATGCAACGCGATACTGGTTCCCGCCTGTGCAAGCCAAATGTCGCACAAAAACGGGCAACCAGCTTTTTGGACCGTTGAGAAAATCCGATTTTGCCCACCGATATGGCCATTTCTGTACACAGCTCATTGTGCACACCCGCATACAGCACAGCGAGCCACAAAATTAACCATTGTGGCGTTTCCACCGGACATGCGCATTGTGCACAACCATATGACATGCTCTGTGCTACAGAAGCAGCCATATCGGTGTTTCCCGTGTGGCACGCGCATATGATTGTGGACATTCACGGTAACGTGGACTTTCGATCTTAAAGCGCCGCCATCGGCAGGTGGGAGACAGTTTTAGCGAGGAATCAACAACTCCTGAAAAACCAACTTTTTTATTCGGGCGAATTTTGGAATTTGGAAACTACAGGTAGATTTGTTATGCAATTTCCTCTGCAAAAAGTATCATTTTGTTACCTGAAATGCTTTTAGAGGCGAGTTTTACGAGATTTTCTGCTTCAATTCTCTCCATTGTTGTTCACTCAAGCGTAACGAAAGATAGCGGCGTCTAATCCTCCGTAAGCCTCGAATCTTTTTATTGTTAAGGGGAGACTGAACAAAAGAATCCAACAAAAGAATTGGTCTCTTTCTCAGCCAAACTACAGTTCTTTTAACGTGTGTGCCAATGGGGGCCCAGCTTTTAAACGCCTTGTATGTTCCCTGAAAATACCGTTCTCGCCACACCTCCCTCTTCTATTCTTATTGGCTCCCTGCCCACACGTGGTTAGCTTTTATATGTAATCTCTTATCCATATTAATTCTTGTCATCTGGGTCTTCAGCTATTGCACTATCAGACGTTCAGGATACCATCTACATCACGGGCATTTCCACCTTCTCGTCAACCCTGAACCTGCCATGTTTGATGCCCTGTATTCTAATTCTTTAATCATCCATGGTTATAGCGTCAGGTTTCATCAAGCAGCCCCTCTCTGCTTAAGAAGGTAAGAAAGTTTGGCATTTTGAGCATCATAAACGACCCATGAGTACGGCGATTCATTCGACTAAATGTATAGTGTGGCACAGTTTGGGCCTTCAGTTCGCGGTCTTAACGTGAAAGAATTCCTAATGCAAGCCTTGGTTTAAATGCTTAGTTAGCAGATTACAATTACATTGTGACTGTGCACATATCACGTTTGCTTCAATTTTCGTACCATTTCCTTTAAATCCATAAGCTTTGTTAATCACCATTTCCCAAAGAACACGTTTTCCAATAAAAATACACGTAGTTCGTAGCGGAGTTTCATACAAGGACATCACCTGACATCTTTTGCACAAACCCTACAGACTGGTCTGAAGTATTTTCCAAGTAATGCTTTGACATTTTTCCCTACAAAGTTTGACTTTTTAGGGCATTTATCGCTTTCTGATGGCCAACTTGAAATATACCACTTTTAGGGAAATGTGAATCTGTATATAGGACCCTAACCGTTTATAGCTATTTCATTAGCTTCCAGAGTAAATTCTGTTAAGGTTCATTATTTTTATCTAAAAATAAATTACCATAAAAGACACACAACAAAATGAAGAGACTTGATATCAAATAAAATCCACTTTCCCTGTTTTATTGAAAAATATATGGCCAAATGCCAGCCTTTTGAAATTACAAACCTACAACAGTTTGAAAATGTTACCAGAACAATATTTGTGTCTCTGATTTCAAAGACCACTATTATTACAGAGAAAGATGGCCTTTTCTCTTGTAAACTTATGCAACAAGCGTTTCAGAATAAGTATTTGCTGAACTTGAAATTTATAAGATATGACTTGTCCAAATATTCTTAGCCAACAGCTGAAGAAAGTTGCAGTCAAGATTTCGAGCCTTGCTCTAGCCTTGAAGTCTGTGATGCTGAAGCTGCGAGAGGGACCAGCTAATGTATGGAGCCGACTTGGACATCTTGCGTTACAGGGTCAACCAACTAACATCTAAGGAATGTAAGGCTGCTGGGGACATCTTGCATTCAGTCTTGTAACAACCAGACATGACTTGGTCCGACCTGCAAGTGACAGAAGGAGCAAATGAGGAAATATATGTATTAACTTTAAACATAAATACTTTGTTATTCAATTGCCATCTCCAAGTGAAAGCTACTACAAGCCGAGATTTGCGGTCAATGGTTCTCCAGAAACCTCAACCTGGACTCCTCAATTTTAAAGTCAAATTTAGGAAAATTGGAAGCATTTCAGAAGGTGTGACTTCAGCCATTTTACAGCTCAAACTAACTTTCCAGCCATTCCTGAAGCACACGACTTCCTGGTTAATAAAATATTATGAACTGCTATGCAACTATACAACATATGTTTCGGAAAGCCCACTACACTCAAAGTATGGTAACTTTTTGTTAAATGAGGCCTCAAATCTCAATTTCTCAATCAACAGCCTTCCTGATAAAAAATATCATTTGGTAAGAGTCCCTTGTGATATGTTATCAACTTCCAAACAAAACCTGAATTTCAAATGTTTCTTTACTGTACTGTAATCTTTATTGGACAGAATTTTTCCCCAAACTGCCAGATCACTTTTTATATTTGTTGAAATGAAATTCATATATATATTTGTACGAAATTGAAATAGAAAAATATTTAGCCACATCCTTTTTTTGGAAAAGGGAATTTTTCCAGATGAGCTTTGAAATAAATAATTAAGTTTCCAAGTTTTTTCCTTGTGAGTTTGATTACTTCTTAAATGCAGAATCTGCTAAGCAAAAGGATACCATTTGTGAAACACTGAACTCAATTTGCATTCACAACAATAAAAGCAGAAATTTTTCCGGTTACAAATGCGATATTATGTTGTCACAATGCCATGTTTTCAGGCAAATTTCTGCACACTGGAGTAACCTTAACGAGTGCAGTACAGTGCTTAAAGCCTTAAAGATAAATTTTGACTTCAGGCAGCAAACACAATTTGAAGAGCATCATATTTACCTTGTCGTGATTTCCGATAGCCAATCAAACTTCCACAGGTGTTTCTGCGACGTGAAGAAAGTATCAACTCTTAATCGCTGCAGGTAAAAAAAGATGAAAAATGACCCAATTCCAAAATTGGAAAAAAAGTGAAGAGTGTAGTTGAGGAATTTCACCTTGCACAAATTTAGTGGATGAGAAACCTAGTTTCATGTTTTGGGTTCAAAAGGCTAAACAATTCGTAGGTCCTCACAAGGTTGTAAAAGCCTTGGCAATGAGCATGGATAAGTCTGAGGCTGCTTATTTGCATGTGAAATCTTGTACCTCTTACGATATTAAATGTTATAAGAAAGGGGGATTCAACTTTCACAGTCACGAGGGGAGAGAAAACTTAACGGATATCTTCCTAGACCAGGGAGGGGCAAACTTGAAGAAATACCCAAACCAGGGGAGGGGCATAAAGACTGAACTTCACTTGAATAATTATCAGTTGAAATGATTACCCTGTATTTAGGTGCATTTCAACATCTGCACTTTAATTACAATTTGATCATATTTCTTTTCAGTATATGAAGGTTTGGAAACACTTACGCCAAAAAAGGTGTTGGCCACAAACCTCTTTCCGGCCACTCTAAATTTACAAATGAATTTTTCTTCAAATTTAAAAAGAAATTTTTTGTCGTTTATGGTCATTTTGATAAATGCAAGCCCTAAAATCTGCCACAAAAGAAAACTGAGGAGTTCTTTAACAAGGGGGCCCAGTAAAAGATCCTGGTGTACATGTACATGGGAAACCAAGTAAAAGTATGAAACCTTGGAGACGTCATTTTGGCTAAGAACGCTCCTTCTGGAGCAATAACTTATATGGATTTATGAGATGGACATTGAAAGAATCTTCTCGCGTAACAGGAAAAAAAAATGCTTGAAAATTATGGGTGTTATTTTTGGACAAAATTCCGCTGCTGAAAACTGATATTACCTTGACGTAGGGAACACTTTCGTTTCCTGACATGGAAATTGGTTGGTAACCTCTGCAAGCACAGCTGTCTCCATGGCAATGGAGGATGTGTCTACCACACGCTTTACCTGCAAAAACGCACACACAAAACATCAACTGGATACCTGGATTAGCAAGAGTGATTGTCTTCAGTTGACCGTCTCACTCTGAGGAACCATGTTCACCTACATGTATATCTTGTTGGTTTTTACACTAGACCGATGGACAACTTAGAGAATGGTTTTGAACAGAACCCTGCTGCTATAATTATAATTCGGCAAGCCAGCCAGAGTTTAGGTCTAACCTGGCAGCCTAGGTAGTGCCAGATTTTCTGTTCTGGCAGCAATCACCCACTGACCATCTGTCTTTGGACAAGAAGGAAGAATCTGATGATGGGTCCTGCAGTCAGCTTTGGCTGTTGCATGTCCATTCTGTGGGTAGGCTTTATGCTTGTTGAGACCCAATTAATAAATGCAGCAATGTCACAGAACAGTTGTAGGTAAGACCCTTGTGCACGCTATTCACGACCCTCAGCACAACATGGCTGCCATCAAGAAGTTTTTGGGCACATTGCCCCAAACTTCAACTTCAAGACAACTAGAGAGCTAAAGGTACAAAACATTTCAAAGGGGCTAGTAACATTGTCAATATATGCCATGTTGACATTTTAAGTTTGGAAAAAATTCTCATTTTCATTTTTGGGGGCTAACAGCAATGGGGACTGTCCACATATACAGCACATGATATCATATGGCTCACTGTACAGAAGCATTCCATGATATGGGCAAACATTATAGGGCAATAATAGAGTAACTTCATGTACTGGTAGATTTCTATGAATCACATCTTTTCATCAAACAATCAATATTCAGATTCATAAATCACGACATTATGTATATGCTACAAAATTCCCATTACATTTCTATTTTCGACTGATTTTCCAATTTTTCCAATGGAAAAATGAATACTTTCAACATGTGTACAAAACCACAGAAATAATTTTCGGACAAACTTGAGGATGTGTATGTGCGTTGAAGGAATGTTGCTTTACAACAATATATCAACTTTATTTGAATTTGGATTATGTTTATGCATTTTCTGAGATTTTTTTAAGTGTGCCACGTAGGGAACACTCAGCTGGATTTGAGCCCAGTTTCCAGACGCCGACATTTTTGGATTTCAGACGATATTTCATGAGACTGGAATTGTTCACAGAGTTTCAACACCACATATCACGAGGGCTATAGTACGAGTATTTAACCAAATGACGTTTGAGTTTTTCAACGAAAAGATTTGGCAAATGCTGCGAGGAAAGTCAAGGGAAAGTTGAAGTGGGCCACGTTAGAGGACTGTATTATATTTCCTTCCGCTGTCTACCAGAAACAGTGCACATCCAATTACATGATTGGCACATGCAGTCTTGCATGTCTTGAGACCCCTGCCCGAAGCAACATCTTTAGTAGATGTTTACGGTTTAGCCAATCTTGCTGTAGCAGTTGGAACTGTTGGTAGCCAAACAGACTGTGGTCCCCTTTTAGTCCAGCTAATTTACCAGAAATACTACACTGTACATGTAGCTTGACCCGGAAAAAATTGCAACAGAAATGATTTCAACTGTTATGGGTTCTACAGACACCAAAGTTTAACAAATTGAAAGTCCTCCAAAATCCAAGTGTGGGAAAGCCTTCAAATTTGCATAATTATATTAATTACCGCTAGTTCTCACCATTAGCTGAGAATGGAAAAACATGCATACTTGTAGCATTAAAACAATGTGGGCTAGCTTGCCCAAACTAGTGTCTTTAGATATCAATGTTTTCATGGTCAAGGAGTTCAATGAACTATGGAATAACCTTTTAAAAGAAAATTTACGTAACACTGTTCAATGGCCGCCATTACCCAAACATTGAAATATTGATATAAAGTTGTCACATGTGACTCAAATTAAGTCAAATTTGTGTCTATACCCATGTTTTCATGGTCAAGGAATCCAATGATCATAGGATTATGGCATTGTTGATAATTGGAGTCGGAGCGCCCAAAAAAATTGTTCTATGCCTACATGTACATTGAAGGAGGGCTCCATACTGAAATGAGTTTCTTGGGATGCTAGGCCATCTGATGGCAGGGGGAAAAAGGGGGCGTTGTTTAGGGCTGAGTCAATTCGAATAATTCACTATTCGAATATTTGATTTTCAATTTGATCGAATATCTGAATATTTGGTCGCACTGACCGGCAGATTGTTGATGAACAAACTATTATACCAAATCAGTTGTTACAATAACACACAGTTGTACATTATGATCAGTATAATAGCTTCTCACATCTAGGAGTATCTCCATCCATGATTTAGCAAGATTTAAGAGATAAACAAGACGTCCTGCCTTGTTGAAAATTTCTATTCCTTTTAAATTCTTTAGTGAATAAATTACTTTTTAAACAATTGCAAAATTTCTGACACTTTTCATTTGAATCTGATTGAAATTGTTCTCATTTAAAACAAAAGAAAATTTTCCCTTCCTAAAAGACTTCATTTTCATTAATTTTGCATTCTAATATTCAAATTCGGAATAATAATATTCAAATATTCGACAATCGATCGAATATTTGGTTATTCGGCACAGCCCTAGAGTTGTTTGAAAGTATTATCTTCGCTTCATCTTAAGGCTGTTCAAGAGATGCTTTCGTATTTTGCAGCAGCGGGTCACAATTGGTATGCCAAATCTGCATACATATACATGCAAATGCCGCTAAACCTTCCAGAGAAACACCCAGATATCCACAAGTGCTTCCTGGAAGTGTTTCATGTTGTCCGTTGCAGTGATCGCTGTTGGGCAGGACTGTCTACTGACTTAGAACTTGTACTTATGAGGAGTCTCAAAACAAATGGTGGTCTAACTAGAGGTCGCAGGTTTATAGAAGTGCAGAGACTTGTGTGGCTCTTGTAAATGCCTGCATGTACAGATATCAGTCAATGTATGCATGAACTTCATAATGTGTGAACTTAATATCTGGGTTAACTCAGATTCAAGTGAACAACACAAAGACTGCTCCAAATCCAGAATCAAGAGAGACATAGAAGACACATACAAAGTCTTGAGCACTCTGAGCAATCTAAATCCCTTTGGCCCTGATCATTCTCTTTACGGCCTTGTGAGTGGTTTCATTGCCAGTGAGTCACACAATGTTGATAATGCTAAGCTTGTTGGCCAAAGGATTCTAGATTCCACAATTGGTAAAACCATTACATACATTTCCTTCCAAAGAAAGAAACAAGCTGTTACTCTTGTATCAAAAGGTGCGATCACTGTTGACAATCATGAGAAGGTACAAGTGGACCCACAACTCCTTTTCCAGAGACTAAGCCTACTAGCCACCAATGGTATACAGGATGATCCTGCCTCATACTTCAAGTACGACTTACATGTATGTACCCATCCGCCTGTGCTATTTGACAACTCATCACTTCCTTGTGTAGCAGATGACCAGCACTGGCAGACGCATTCTGGAAGGTGGTTAAGAATGAAAATGAGATTCTTCCTGATCCTGTAAACTACCTGTATGTTCTTGATGGAGGAGCACTACTACTGTACATCTGCCATCTAAAGCCAAGCATTTAGCCATCTAGAGGGAGAGACATTTGACTCAGTTTTTAAGCGGTATGCGAAGTATGTCACCCATAGATATGGAAGGGCAACAGTTATCTTCAACGGTTATGATCATGGTCCAAACACCAAGGATGTCACACATCTGAGACGTGGCCAAGGACCTGGACCTACTGTGAACTTGAAGTTTCTTGGGGACTACCTTGAAAGGGCTGGTTGCACCATTGTACATACAAGAGGAGATGCTGACCTTGTAATCGTCCAAGATGCCATTGCAGCATCCCATTCCACAGACACCGTGGTTGTTGGGGATGACACTGACCTGATAGTGCTACTTCTTCACCATGCAGATACTAAAGGCAGAGCCTTATTCTTCAGACCTGAGCCAAAGCAGAAATCTAAAAAAAAAAAAATCGCATTTGGAACGTCTGGAAGTCAAAGGAGGAGCTTGGCCCTGCTGTGTGCTCAAGGCAGCTTTTTGTTCATACACTTTGGGGTGTGACACAACATCAAGGCTCTATGGCATTGGAAAGCAAGTACATGTAGGGCTGTCCAAGATGAAATGGCAAAAGTGGCTGATACTTTCATGGTGGAAAGCGCCAAGAAAGAGGACATCATACATACTGGTACTGGTGAAAAGGCCCCTGTATTCCTTTACAGCAGAGATCAAATCGCAGGTCTTAATGAACTCAAATTAAAAAACTTCAGTGGAAAGGCTTCACAGAGCTCGAAACATGTTTAGGCTCACAATTTGCCACCTACAGAGGCATCTGCCAAGTTCCACAATATGTGATTTTACTACCAAAGGGGGAAAAACGATGAATTACATTCTTTTTTAAGACTATTTCTTCAGCCAATTGAACCACGGTACCATAATAAATCTGATTGACTTCAAACTTGCCACAATGTTAAAACATTATCCAAGAACGGTCCTACATGCAGAAGAAATTTGGCATGATAAAAATATCATTTGTCGAATTGTTACTGCCAGTACTAGCAAAAGCAATTCAAAACAATGCAGGCGAAGCTTTTCAAGATCTGGCAGCGGTACCACCAGGTTGGGGAGCTGCCGACGTCCCAGCTTCTTTCTACCTGCAAGCACCTGAATGGTCCCGCACTGTAGGCCAACCAAACCAAACAGCCCTTGAGGGCAACCACTTTCAAACCAGATGGCCCTTTTGAGGGCCACCACATTTTCCAAAAAGAGATATGCTTTACCTGCAAAGAATGAAACAATTATTTTCATTTTTTTAAAGTTTAAAGTATTTAAAATTTGTTTGAAATATATTTTTAACAATTTTCTCATGATAGAAATCACTCAAGTCCTAAGGTAAAGGGGTATGAGTTAACTTGGGTACGAGTTAACTTGGGCACGACTTGACCCAGCTACGAGTTGACCCGGGTACGAGTTAACCAGGGTACGAGATGACTTGGGTACGACATGACTCGGGTACGAGATGACCCAAAATCCCCTACGGCATGCAGGGCCTAGAACTGAGCCTATGTTAAACTTGGGACCCAAGTTGGGTGTCTATACTATAGAACCCAGTTGAAATCAAATTCTGTTGCAATTTTTTCCAGGTCCAGCTGCAGTATGACTGGACTACTTACACAATGAACATTCCTTGCTGAGAGCTGGTTGTTGTAGAGTGCAGCTGAGTGGAAAAAGCGTAGCTTATTTCTGTCTTGTCGGTGTCTTTCTTGCACTGCAATGGAATGGCCCTGCGGTAGCACTGTGGTACCAAAGTCCCTTACTACATGTCAGGCAGGCGACAAGTGACATAACCGTTAAGCAAGAGAAGGCATAATGTAGAATGCGCAGAGAGAGAGAGCATGTGGCACAGCGCCCTCAAAGAAAATTTACTCACGCCGCGCCTGATGTCACTCGAAATGTACAGTGTACTAGGTACATGCAACTTGTGGTTGGTTGTACAGTTGCAGGCTGGCCGTCTGTACTGTGTGGGTTTCGCGACCATAAGTGCGATATCACGATGATACGTCCACATTCTGTTGCTGGATTCACAGGTATGGTGGTGAAATTGGTTTTTTCTTCAAAAAGCATAAATCAATTGGAGTACTTTCAAAGCTCAGTGTAATATTTAGCATAAAGGTTTGGCCCCTATAATAGAAACGTGTTTATAGATAGCCTACTCATGACTCAGTATAGCAATGGGCATGGAGGTAGGAAAAGGCACCAGGCGAGTAAGCCTAAATGGTACTCCTATTTTTATTAACTAGGCCTAGTTACATTCTAGTATTACTACTTTTGAATCACGTTGAATACCCACAGAACTTTGGGGTTCGTTGTCCGTTTTCATGGTAGCACGTTGCACCGGTGGACGACAAACCCCATGGTTATGCATGCATGTTCTTGGGGGAAATACATTTACGCAAATACATGCGCAAACATGGCTCCTTTTGAAGTTTCTAAGTCCAAATGTGCCAATGTAGGTCTCGGGGAGCGGCTACGCTGATAGGAAATGGGCCTTGCATGCTTTGTGCGTCATGCAACGCCAAGTGAATGGGGAAGGTGGAAGAATTTTGTAAATGTGGGTCCATGGAGCAGCTACATGGATAAGGGGACTGTCCCGAGTGTGAGTGGTTCCGAGTATGAATTGACTGGGGTACCTGTTGACTTGGATTTGAGTTTGAGTTGACTTACATGTAGGTGTCAATTTTGGGGTGTATGTACACAGGATATAGTATCACTAATAAACATTTGTTCCACACTTTGGATACTGACATGAGGTATTCCGGAACATGACGCACGTTGTGTGTGGTTTGGTTGGTATTTTTTCTCTATCAGAATCAATTCTGAGTTGTACACTTAGTTGTAGTTTTCCCCCAATTGATATTATTGTTACTATTTTTATCTGCTCTTTGATTCCAGTCCTTCCAATTCGCTTCAATGCCAAAAGTGAGACAGACCATTTCCTCTACTACAGAGAACACAGAGTAAGAGATGAAGATGCTACAAAGCCAGCAAGCAGAACCCTTTTTGTTGTCAACGTTCCTCCGTTCTGCAACAAGGTAGAGCCCTATGAGAATCCACATAATTCTTGAACTTTCTCATGCTTTGTTTCCTGCCTATCAATGTGGCTAATTAGTTTCCCTCTATTTGATTACAGGAATGCTTGGAAAGACTATTTGGGCTGTGTGGTAAAGTAGAGGATGTTTTTATTCAAGATAAGCCCTCATCGACGGTTTGTTCAGAAAAGCATTCCAAGAATTTCCCATCTCCAGTAAATTCACTGGTAAGACACTAATAGTAAATTTTTTCACTCATGAAATGTTTCAGAATTGTGCTGGAGTTATTTCAAAAGAGTTCCTTTTTTTATCCATAGGGTTTTCAGTTTGCATTTGTAGTATTCCAGAAATCCTCCTCTGTACCCAAAGCAAAACAGCTTCCATCTCAACTAGAAGAGCCTTTCCTCTTATCAACAGAAGATAAATCGCTACTCACAGGCTATAAAAGTAAGTCTGATTGTCAAAGATTTATTTATAAAAAGAGTTACGTGGCATTACCTGTGACACAGATTTCATTGAAATGCTAAGCAACAGAATAGCTCTGCCGCTATAAGGTTACCAGCCCAAATGCCATGTGTGAAACAGTACATGTTCTTGGTTCTCGGTAACATTTTAGCAATGTTTAGTTTCTTAACAATTTGCAATGTGCAAGATTCTTTTAGAGATTATGAACTCAAAGGTGGCCATTGTAAATTCTGACTCATTTTTACATAGTGGGTCACAAATTGAACCCAAGCTCATAATAGTATTCATTGAGATTTTTCACAACCTGTTTCAGTTGAGTGGATGTTTTTCTGGGGAATGTCAGATACATCACTGTCGGTTTCAAGGGTCATCTGTCTTTGTCCTTGAGGAAATGATTATTTTTGAGCAACCTTCTGCCCTCTCAAGCAGACCGCACCCCCCTGCTCTGCATACAATCTCTTAGTCATGTGATCATTTTCATTACCAATCTATCTGTCTTTTTCTCATCAGAATGGTGCTCAGATTATACCTTGAGTCGCCCAGATGTGGATGATCTTCAGAAAGAGATTGACGATTTCATGCAGGAGTATGATGCCAAAGTGCAGGAGGTAGGGCCATGTCACTTTCAGGAAGCATTCAGTTTGTTGCTGAGAATGACGTCAGCTCGTAATACCCCTAACTGAGAGCAGGGCTTGTCTGAGTTATTCCTTGAAGGAGAACAATGCCCTATGTTAGTTTTACTTCGTGTATGTTTTTTTCGTGACTGCAACCAGAAATGTACTTTCTCTTTTTGTCACTGGTTACGCATTTCAGGACTTAGTCACACCTGGTGTGACCAACTGAGAGCCGAGGATTTGTTTATTGTTTGTACAGAAGGGCAGAAAATAAACTTACGGGTTTTTCACCATCTCCAAAACAAGTGACTTGTGCATGTCCCCCCTTATTGCATACAGCAAACCAAATTTAGTACATGTATATCTCTTCTATGATGTCAAAATAAAAAGCAGAGTAAGATATCTTGTGGAATAATGAGTGAAAATTTTGTTTTTTTCATCGATTTCCATCAGATGATGTAACTGCTTCAGATTTCACTTGTATTTGGGCTATTTTAAAAAGGTTTGTGGTTGCTTTGATGTCCTGAACATGTTTCTGGTAAGGGTCAAGAAATGCACTCCGTATCTTTGATGGGTTTTCCCAGCTATACTTTCTCCGTGCATTTGCATGTAGTATGCATCCTTTCCATTGTATAAAAACAATATATTACATATCCCAGCTGCCTACGCGTGTCAGTTATCTGCCGCGGCTCTGACTTTTGTTCAATATTTAGCCCATATCTGAACAATTTGTTTCCGACTTGTTTGCAGGAGGAATTAAAGGCCAAAGAGCTGGAAGGTGTGCCAGATGAAGAGGGCTGGATCACGGTAACGAGAAAAAGTGCTAAGCCAGCCGTAGCCCGCACTGAGAAGAACCAACGAAGGCTCCGTGCCAAGGAGAGGAAGAAGAGGGAAAAGACTGAGCTGCTCAACTTCTACACATTTCAGATGAGGGAGAGCAAACGAGAACGTAAGTTTCCTGCAAAGAGTAGGGTTGAATTCTAACTCCTATTAGCCCAAGCCAACCACCAATCCTGGGGCAATAACTCTTGGTCTCCTCCTGGAGTCCTCCAGAAATCATCCACTCTGCAGGTAATCAGTCACGTGTTCTTTGCACTGAAATTTCACTGAGCTTCAAGTGCCGTGTTAGTTACCAGTGGTAGGCCTGTTCCTTGGTCAGTCAGCAACTCCTGATGGATTTCAACAAATCCTGGAGGGTTAGGGTTCATGCCAGGTGTGGGATGCTGCGAGGGGCTACAGATGCAGTTTCTCTGGTCTTGGCCTTAATGACTCCTTGGAAATGTTCCCAGTTGGCTACTGCAAGGGGCATAAAAATGCCCCTTGTAGTAGAAGAGGTGACCTTGCCTGAGAAAGTGCAATTTCTGCAGGGATGTCACACTCATGCCAGGATTTTTCAAGATCCATGTTGGACAGATTTCAATATGGAGTATAACCTTGCAAAATCATCTGCTAGTTGTACGTGTTTGACACTTGGAAGTTGAAATTTTTGTGCTTTGATTTTCAGATATAGCTCAGCTCCGGCAGAAGTTTGAAGAAGATAAGCAGAAAATTGCCCAGATGAAAGCTGCCAGGAAATTCAAGCCTTTTTGAAAAACAATCCGGATGGATGACTACTTAATCTACACTTGTTGCTGAGGGTGCAATAGGTGCCTTCATCCCAATACAGGATTTCTGTAGACCAGAAATTTCCACAGAACTGCTCAAAATTTAAGATCCTGAGACTTATCTACGTTCTACATTTCTTTCAGTGCTGTTAATCACTGAGATGCCATACATGTACAAGAGGTTCCTCATCAATTCACAAAATACCAAAATGCACTGTATCATAATTACATATTCTTTATTGCTACACATACATATATACACTTCTGGAGGATTTCAGTGGACAGCCCTAAATGAAATTTTTGGGAACCCTTATAAATTGTAAGATGGCTTTTGTGAAACAACTTTACTTTGTTTTCTATGTGTGCCTGAATTTCAGTGTTAAAAGAGAAACCTTATTTCTATATGCTGCATCCTGTTGAAAAATAACTTGATTCTTAAAATGCAAAAAAACACACAAATGTCCACAAGTACAATTTCTTCAAATTTAGAACATTTATAAACATGTAAAATATAAGAGAAGCAAGAACAGGTGGACTTTTCTCCATCTAAGTGGACACACTGACAGGAAGAGTGGCAGTCTGGTCTCACAAGCTCTTTTTCAGTTAACTCTGCATAGCGCCCTCATGCTGTAAAACCAGGGAGAGTAGCCTGCAATAAAAAGAGAACAAGCAAACATCAGATATAACATCTTCCCAGGCTATGGCTACGGCCATTAATTATGCCATGATAATGGCAAAAAGCCAAGCCATAGCCACAAGACACTCCAAACATGGCTCAGCACAATCTGTCTGTGTAGCTCATTTACTGGCAAGTAAATGTTCAGCTTTCCCACAAAGCAATTTGTTCCTGTGCAACAGTTATTAAACTACAGTCAAGCAACTCTTTGAATCAGGCGTGCGACTTGGACAAAAAATGAGAAAATTCCAATCTTTACAGGGCTGTACAGTGTTTTTCAGTTTTCAGTGGTATGAGTGTGGAGTGAAAAAGGAGGAAATCAGCTGATCCAAAGAAAAGTTGCAGGCCTGTTGAATCTGACAAGACAAATATTGTATTAACTCTCCAGTTTGCAACCTCGTGTTTAAGATTTGGCTAACAATGTTATACTAATGACTACGGAAATGTTAGCTGATGATAGTTCAGGTGGGGAGAGGCTACACCATGCCGTCTGTGTACATTTAACACATTTTTTATGCGGCAAAATAAATTGAAGTGGTTATACAGACAGCATAATTTCTGTATTGTGAGAAACACAAGGCTCTGAAACTAGGGTATTTTGTCTGATGTACCCAAAGAAAAAAGATGCACTGATTTAATGTTGCCAGAAAAGCGTCACAAGGCTGGGTTTAAAACTTGGGTACAGCTGGCAATGCCACATGCCAATGGGTTGCCATTGGCTCGTGAATGTATCCACTTACCATAGCCATGTGTATCGCATCTAGCCGTGGCAAGAGTTTTCAAACATTCCTACGACACCAGTCTATAATTGTCTACCATACATTTGGTAATCACCAAATTCAGTCTTTTCCTTAGGCTCACCCTTAGGCAGTATAGCCTTTCTAAGAGTGTATGTTTCTCCATCCATTGTGAACATTTTTCTCTTTCACCTCTTTTTTTTCGGCTAAAATTTTCCTTTTTTCCCCAGATTGTTCACAAGTGATTGTTCACAAGTACATTTAGTCGCATTTTAACGTTTTAGTACATTCTGACTTGGAATGTTGCATACTTTTATGTGTATTATAAACTATAAATTTGTTATAAACCATATTCTTTGAAACAATGGACCTTTCCCGTGAAATATGCAAATAAGGCAGGTGCATGCGCATAACTACCTGGTTGGCAAAGTTGCTTAAATCTATGACACAATACAAATCTCCATGTGTGCATAACTATGAGCACATACTCGCCGTTTCAACACTAGTATACTAGTATAGTTCGACACGAGTGCCAAACTTAAAGACAAGGTATTGTTGCTTTCCAACCTCGGGACATCGACAACTTCTGTTAGTTCCGGGAAAAGCTTGAAGTATCGGATAAAGGCTGTAATAACATTTTTGACTGACCTTCAACACGCAATTGTGGTTACAGCAGTTCTCGTACACTGCCAACAGTCTAAGGCTGAGTCTATTTGAATAATTCACTATTCAAATATTCGACCTTCAATTAGATCGAATATCCGAATATTTGGTCGTACCGACCAGCAGATTATTGATGAACAGTCCATGTACATATATAAAATCAGTTGTAATGACGCACACAATACTGTAGTACATTACAATCACTATAATAGCTTATGTCTAGGAGTATCTCCAGCCACAATTTAGCAAGATTTAGAGATGAACAATATTTCTTGCCCCTTGAAATTTTTGAATGAATAATTTTCTTTGTAAATCGTAAGAATTCTGTCGCTTTTCACTTGAATCTGCTTGAAACAAGCCTCCACAGTGTAATTTTTCTCATTTACAAGAAGACATTATCCTATCGTTTTCATGAATTTACATTCAAATATTTGAATTTGGGAAATAATATTCGATAATCGATCGAATATCCGGATATTCGGCACAGCCCTACGACAGTCTTGACAACTGCACTTGCCAACCAGTGGAAGAAGCACGCACGCACCTGTCTAATTTGCATATTTCATGGCAAAGTTACATTACATACATAAACTGGTGGTGGTGCCTTTAATAATATCAAGAAGGAAATACTACTCCACACATTCACAGGTGCAAGCACAGGTCTCTCTGCCCAGCTGTCAAATGCCTAATTATCCAGTTTCCACTATAACTGCAATTTCCACTGATTGCACTTCCAACAAATGCTGAGTGATCTTGACCGGCTCCCATCCTACCAGGAAATCTGGCCATTAACAGGATGCGGGAAGCACCGGGTGATTAAGTCCCTGACACTTCTGGGGTCAGGGTGACAGAGTGAGCAAACTGTTTTGACTTCACATGGAAATAAACAATTCTCGTTTTCTTAAAACCCTTCCAACTTTCATGAAGCTGTATTTCCCTGAGGAAGCTTGTTCAGGTCAAGGTAACGTTTTTTCCACATGTGCAACCTGTTTTAGTCATTGGACATGCGGTGGGTAATTTCAGACTGGAATTCCTCACTGCAGTTCGGACTTTTTTTTTAACTATGACAATGGCCTTGGCACTCTCTTCCCCTGGGGTACACTATTTTGTTTTTTTTCAGTGCGGCTAATTTAATACAATGGAGAAAATAACTCTGACCTTCTGAAGAATACAAGGCCCGCACTTGAGAATGATGGTTTCAATAGGCTTAGCTGGAATACCAAACGAGGACATGTACATGTAATATGTATGAAGGGAACAAAGCACTGGACAAAGTGAGATTCACATAATCAGGACTGGGCCAATGAACACTTACTGATTGTCAGGTAGACCATCAAGAGCTGCTGTTAGGGTACCTAGGAAGAGAAACAAAAGACTTTATCTTAATAAATACTAATGGTTGGTAGCATATTTCGACAAGATTTTTTTGTCTTGGTTTGATGTGAGATTTATTCATTTTGGTCTCCCTAATTGTTACTATTACTACTGCTTTAGGGTTCTTGCAATTTACTCGTTCATTTTCTATTTTGTTCATGTGCAAGTTCGATGTTTTGACAGTACATGCCAATGACATTGAGGAAGTGCATCAGTGTGCGAAGTGTGCTGCTTGCATGCGTGCTGTGTTTTCCAATGACCTTGCCTTTACTGAAATGAACCGGCTCAATGCATGACGTGTATCTGAACACATTTCTGCTGCCAGTATCTGTAATTTTCAGTCCTCCTGAGGTGGATATGAGAAAAGAGGTGACAAAAACCCGAAAAACATGGGAAACATTTTACCGCATTACAAGAATGCACTTCCCAAATGCCATGCCAGAAAAACAATTTTGAAAGGCCAAAAACACTTGACAAATATGACTGTGCCTAGCCGAAGTCAACTTGCATACATGTAGGGAGGGCTGTGTGCATGGCCCTAAAAACTCCATTCAGCAAAACTCAACACATCTCCTCTTTTTTTGTGAATGACCTTTCCTGAATAGGTTCCATTTTATTAAGCTTCTGAAATTACCAAAACAGCTAAGATGTTTTAATATATAGAAGTACCCAATTTTTTTCAGAATTCTGTCCAGCCTCACCTACATTTTGAATTTTTGATCAACACCTGTTATAAGGTTGGAAGAGTGAAGAGCAAAGAATATCATGACTTGCCTCACAGAATAGCTATCGGAGGGAAACAATATATTTAAGGCTTAAACTCCTGGGTTAAATATGATATACATGTACTGTAAACATGGGCAAAATTTGATCAGCAGTCAATAATTAATAAGTCATACCAGGTAACCGAGCAATATCAACCAGCAGTTGACTAACGGTTGCTGATGGAATTTAGCCATACCAGCAACTGAATGATACTCACTCCTGCAACAATGCAGAGCCCCTGTGTACAGGGATACTTGAACCACTTGGGCCAACCGGTCCAAGGAGACATCAACAACCTCCCTTGCCTCCTCTTCATCATCAATTCCACCCAGCAGCCTTTTCAGGCTGGCAACGATGCCCTCGACATCTCTCTCCGACAGCGGTTCCTCGTGTTTGGACTTGGCAGCCCTGTACTTGAGTTTCTGCTGGGTTGAGAGGAGGGCTTGGAGAACACCTAGATGTAATCTGGAATACAGGAGATGCAATGTTGAATCCTCTTTGAGGCTGGCGTGTGCAATGTCCGCCTGCGACGGGGGCTTCCACCGCAGGGAAACCAGCGGAGAGAGAACACAGGCCTTGATCAGTCCAGGGAAGGGGCCCGGCAGTGAGGGCAAGGAGCCCGGGGGCGGGTCAGTAGTACCATGGAATGATGGGATATTTGGGGGTGGATTCAGGAAATGTTCAATGAAGATGAGAGGGTGTTTGCTGGTCCAGCTAGTGAGCACCTCCAGCAAGGCTGAATGGGGAAGATTCTTCTTCTTTGGATCTGCAGAAAAATTCAAGTCCAAAACACTACATCAGGTTTACAAATAATCATAAAAACCAGCATTTAAAATACTCTTTTTATTATTAGCTCAATCACAGCACTTAAAAATAATATAGAGTAGAATAATTACATGAGATTAATCAATGCTTTAAGAAAGTAGACAATGAAAATATTACACTGTAGTGAAACAACAGTGTAATTGAAAAAAGGATAATTATTAATCATTTTGTTCACCCTAGAATATAAATGACCTTTTGAAAAGCAAAATCTGTTTTTTACCTTTTAGATAGTGTACCGAAGTGTGACATCATTCATTTGCAACCAGGAAGTGTAGTGCAAATGAATGGAATACACGCGTGTGCCGGTACATGAGCTGGTTCTCACACTAATGCCTTTTTACGACATAATTGTGTGCATTACGCATTTACTTTGATGCCCCATACAAAAATACCTTGAGGTCTACTTTGTAATCAGTACTTCATTGGTCCTAACACTAATAGACCTAAAACACAGAGACATCATGCTTTGTTTACATGTGCATTTTCTGTGGGAACTCATGGATAACTATGATTACCTCTGTCAATGTCATACAGGGCTGATATGGAGGACATAAGCTGGCACACAAATTGCGGTGAGGAGTCCACCAAGTCCCTGAGCAGCTCGCATGCTGTGGGGATCAAGATGCAGTAATCCTCCACCAGACTACTGGTGAGGGCCAGGGTGGCCTCAGACGCGCCCTAGGAGACCAAGAGGGGTACAGAATGGGAAGAGACAATGGGTCACGGAGTTAAGTCCCACGGATTTCGCTTGAGTCACGGCATAGTTCCTTTTCCGTGGTATCTGCCGCATATGCAAAAGGTGTTTTGAACATTAACTGAAACACAGTACTTTAATAACTCATTTAGAAATAATAGAATCATGAAATTTCATTCTGATGAATCCTACATCACAACAGTGCTCATTTTTACAGAAATGGGCACCCCCAAAAAAACCCCAATGAATACTTTTAACATTACTAAACAAATCTATCACAGCTAAGTCTCATGCCAATATAGCCATTGCTAATTCATTGGAATTTTTTTCAATCCTCTAAAATCCTTCAAAATCATCCAAAATCTTCCAGGTGCAGGAACTGATTAGTACGCGCTTTTTAACTTGAACTTTTAAAGGGCATTGAGCCTTATGTAAAAACAGTTGTTCACAGGTCTTGCCAAGGGTTTTTAGGGTTGATACCTGTCTTCCTGGCAACATTAACCTTATTTGACCCTTGGCACTTCTCTCAACAGAAATTTTTGTGGAGACTTTGTTTGACTTTTCATTTTTAGACTATTCCATCTAGTCCTTCCCCAGCACCAGTCACATATTTTTACCTGGTTGTGTAGCAAGACAGCTGCACAGTCAAGCACAGGGATACAGTTCACGGCGATGGCCATGGAGACCAGTTTACTCAGTGCCCCTGTTCGGTGTTCATCCACTGTCGCTATCGGTCCCGGCTTGCAACCAAAGAAGGCATCAAAGACATTATGTCTGGTGATCAGATCTTGGTTGAGCTGGAAATGGTTGCACAGCTCCTCCAGAAGTCTCAGTTCTTGAATAGCTGTCAGTTTTTGCTGAAAAGTGGGAAAATGAGTCAAAACAGAAGACAGGCAAAATTTAAATCTTTTTCTCCTTAATCAGTAGTTTTTGCTAAACAGTTATACACGGACAATATGAAAGATGGAAATAATTATTAAAAATCTACATGTAAATATTGAGTGGTCACTCAACAGTAACAATTTTCAGAACAGAAACTTTCTGACACCTATAGCATTTTGTAAACCACAGTTAAGATTTGAAGAATAGTTCCAAGAGAGTACCCAAGTAATTGCTCATCAATATCAAAACCTGGTTCCATTTTTTGGCTGGGTGCCCTTTACAAAAATTTCCACATATACAATGTAATAGTACATAAATACAACATGGTTTGAGGTTCAGTGAGTTCAGTGATCTGTCATGAATATGTATGAGGTACAGATGTATACATGTACAACTGTAATACAGATGGGCAGAATTGCTGAAAAGTCATTGTGCTGCTGAAAAACTCGGTCCCATGGTCATAACTCCGGTTCAGAGATCTTTTGCTCCAATATAAAGGTAACATTTCGCTCAATAAAAACGTGCAGAAGATTCCCCACTGATGTTTAGAACAAAGTGCTGCTTCCTACAATGTTTCAGAGCACATGGTCTGCTGGGATTAAGCGCAATGCCATTTGTTCAGTATTCGTTCTATTTCAAGGGTACCTACATACCCAGTACTGACATAAAATGAGTAGGCGATTCCAAAAATGCCCATAAACACACCCCTACAACACACCTGCACCCTGCTGGTACCCGAATTTCGATAAAAGACAAACTCCTCAATGAGTTGATGAACACAGTCTTGGTTAGGGAACTTCCCCGGTGGGAAGTTCTCACACTGCACAAAGTACCGATGCAGCCATTCCAGTAGGGTGCGGGTTGCTCTCGGGAAATCCTGCCTTTGCAACGTTTTACGGAACTCCGGCAGCCGAAGGTGAGTGTCTGAGTACCACAAGCATACATCTTCTGTTGAAGCCAATCAAAGAAGACAGAAAAAAAGTTGAGAAAGGGAGATGATAAAATGTGAGGGAAAGAATTCCATATAGGACGCCACTTATTTTCCCTACAGTTATCTGCATATATTAGCCATCTGAAAGTCTATAATAAGACCTAAAAAGTCAAATTTAGCAGGGAAAATATTGAGGTTTTCCTGTTCAAAGCGCTTATAATTTTTTTCAGACCAATCTCAAAGAGTTTCTGGACAGAGTGTCAAGAGCAGCATCTGTATTATATGGAACTCTTTCCAATGTGAGAATTACTGTTCTTCTTACAATGGGAGTGTACTCAAGTTAATTATTATTTCAATTTTTGACTTACCATGCTGACCAAGTACTTTAGTATATAAAAACTTATTTTTCCATTTAAAATTAATTCAAAGTTGGTCTCCTTGGGTTTTATACAGGACTGGTTTTGAAGCTAGGGCCAACATGTACATATGTATGTAACATTTACCAACTCAAGTTTCACAAAGAATCCATCCTGCCATTTCATATAGGGTGAAAATAACACATTCAAGACATGTATGACCATGATGACATGAGATAGTAGGTATACATGGACGGTACATACTTCCAGAACAGTAACGTTTATACAATTACGAACCTTATATATAATTATGGTTATTGGAATGGAAGTAGATTGGGCAAATCACAATGCAGCTTTCATCTGTGGATGACTGGAAAACAAGAAGGAAAAGATAGGAGCTGTGTTGTGACTGGTCAAGCTTTTATGCAGCTGACCGTGACTGAGAGTACATGCTTTAGGGCTGAGTCAATCTGAATAATTCACTATTTGAATATTTGACCTTCAATTCAATCCAATATCCGAATATTTGGTCGTACCGGCTGGCAGATTGTTGATGAACAAACCATACACAAAATCAGTTGCAATAACACGCGGGCAGTTCCACGGTGTTGGATGTACATTTTGGACACTTCAACAGTGTGTGTTATTATACAAATAATCCTGAAGCAGATTTTGATTTTGATAAAAGACATCAGCTAGTTGGTACATTCATTTAATAAGAAAAATTCTCTCTCAGAATTATTATCCTTGTAGAAGCTGACTCATAACACCACGGTGTTGGACGTACTCAGAGAAAGTTAATTGTTTGAGTTTCCATTTTTATATCACAAACTCTGTGATTTGCCAGGACCTGAAGAAGTAGTTTTCCTGTGTTTACTTTTAGCAAACCCTTATTAATTATTAACTTCATGGCAAAACACATTTTTATCTTGTTGTGACTTTCAGGTAAAGCATTTATTATATTGGTGTTGGACATACATTTTTTGGTGACTTTTCAGAATAAAAGGTAATCAGTTCAAACCGAAGCTTGTCTCATTTTTCTACCTTCATGAAGGCTTTAGTAAACTTTCCAAACCAAAAGAAAATGCCAAGCCATACAAAAATCATCAAAAGCAACTAGAAAGGAATTGGATGATGGGGCATTCAAAGAAACAGTATGAAGGAAAATATTGTCTAGAAATATTTATGCAAATTTTGCTCACTTAAACTAGTCAGGTACTGTCAAACATTCAAACTAAAAAAAGTTGTCTACAGTTGACAACCTTTAAATAAATAAATCAATTAAAAGACAATTGCATACATGTACTTGTAAGGTCTTTTGGTCTTAGAACATGAAATTAAACATTTTTGTATGACAAATGCTGCGTGTGTACTAAGCTGCCATTTTAAAGATTTCCAGTTCACACTTCACAGGTTATAGTACACATGTAAAATCCAAAAAGAAGCTAAATGATATACCCTTTTAGATGATTGCAAAATCAAAGGAATGGGCTAGCAATTAGGCTGAGAGATTATCCTTTTCACTGAAATTTAAGACTAATGGCATAATGCTTTTAAAACTACAGTCTTACATTGTATGTTTTATGATAGATACTGTACATGTATATATCATGGAAAGCATATACAAGTGGAACACCCCCTTTAATTCCTCAAGCAGCACCAAGTGAAACCAATTGATTTTACATGTACCTTGAACAAGAGTATAAAAAACACTCCTTTGTTTAGTCTTTTCCAGTCTTGCCTCCACCATGTTCACTCATTCAATCTCACAGGCTCGCTCTCACAGTTGCCATCTTTAAAATAAGGTCACTTGACCCCTCATCGTCTCAACGGCTGTTCCATGTCAAGGCATCTAAACTGCTGCCAAAGATTTGGAAGAGCCCATTGGCACATGTAGACCTAGTATCTTATCGCTCAGTCCATGTATTAGATATGTCTTGACATGGAACAGCCATTGAGACGATGAGGGGTCAAGTGACGTAATGTTCAACGACCTTATTTTAAAATGGCGACTGTGAGATCGAGTCCGTGAGATTGAATGGGTGAAGGCAAAAAGACGGGAAAATACCACAACAATGTGAGTGAAATCATTCAATAAATGGCGCTAATAAAGCTGAGAGGCTAAGGATCATTTCTGTGTGCAAAAGAAATTGCACCCATGATGATAAGTGGTGTGCAAAAAATTTCAGTATGCCGACACGAAATTGCGTATACGGATGTGTGGCCACGGATGGAGCGGGAGTGAGAGTCTGTGCCACACTAGGCCCTAGTGAAGGTCCGGACAACTCGACCGTTTGCTAACTCGACTTCAGACAACTCAACCGTTGAGAAAACTCGACCGTTAAGACAACTCGACCATCCGTACGTAAAAGGAAGAGACAAGTCGACCGTTGAGACAAGTCGTCCATTGCGGGACACTGCCCGCTCAGCCCAGTCATCTATTGAGGCCATACATGTATGCCTCAAGGATGGAATTTCATGTTTAGATATATATCACTCACTACGAGTGATCCCAAAATCCTTTTTTTCATACCCAACAGTCATATAAACTCTTGCATCTAATGTCTGTTTAATCAAAATGACTTTCAAAGTTGCGTTTTATTAAAACTGGCCGAAAACTGAATAACTCATCTCGCTAATACGGACGTTGCAGAAAGTACGTGACGTAATGGGTTCGTCAGCTGTGCGGCACGAAGTAGTATTGTTGATGGCCCGCGCAGTGCAGCTAAAAATGTTGAGACGAAATTTATACAAGATCCNCTCTCGCAGGTTTTCTCCGGGTACTTCGGTTTCCTCTTGCCTCTAAAACTGGACCTTGTTCTTAACTCCGTAATGTGATGCTGATTAATAAAGTGTATGAATAAACGTACAGTTATTGCCGCAAATAGCCTGAGCTGCTGAAAGCACCATTAAAACAAAACAACAACATTACACAAGATCCAATTTTTTAAAAATTCATTGGAATTCTTATTTATGAACCAAGTTTTCTAAATTTAAGAATTTTTCATTAGAAAATAAGCTTTTTGCAATGGTTCTGGCTGAAAACAGATTTGCTGCTAGCATGGTTACTTTCCGGTAACAGGTCCAGAACGACAAAAGGTGTCACCACTTCCATAGATCCCATATGTCGGAATTAAAAGCTTAAAATTTGAAACTGATTTGGTGGTAAACCATGGTGTCTCTATCACACAAGTGGACGGTGACCACATTTCACTGGAATTCAAGGATTTTTGTACAGCTGCAATCTGACTGAATAATTTCACTATCTTGAACTGGGAAAACGACTGTATTATGTGAAGAGATCTCACTGGTCGAGTTGTCTCTCCGTCAAAGTCGAGTTGTCCTAACGGACGACTTGGCAAACGGTCGAGTTGTCTGACATCCCCGCAATAGTGGGGCTAGCTAGTCCTATCATGGAGGTACGTACATGTAGATTTCTACCTCGAGTCCATGGTCCTATGTAGGCCTACAATCGAATGAATGAATAACACCAGGATGCGTACCTGTAGTAACAGTTCAATAAATCACACGTAAGAGATGCTTCAGCCAGCATAAAACACAATATTACTATCACCAAATCTACTTAAAATTTTAAGTTTAATCTCACCGGGCCCGATTGTGTACGACGCCATCTTGCACATCAAACTCTGTGGCGCCACCAACAGTTTGAACCTTGTATCAACATTCGGCCTGAGACGCTGTGCGTCTGGAATCGTCTCTTTCTGCATTAAGAGAGCACGAATTTCGCCCGTTAATTTGTCACAAAATTGAGTCAGTATTGTGTAATATGTTTTATGGGCATGGTTTTGCCGTCTCTCCTGACCTTCATCTCGGGTCACATTTACGCATTTACCGCCGTGATGTTCGACGTAACACTGAACACTGCTGTGATACCATGGTGCGTTCGATTGGAGCCAAATAGGCTCTGTTACTCGAGCGAGACATAGACACGGTCCATTTTTCACTGGTAAAGATATAGGGAATATTTCGAATTCAATTCTAGCTTAATAGATCGATAGGACCTTTATTTGATTAAGGAAATAAAAAACGAGAGGCTATTAATGATATCTCCTCAACCCAGTTTCTTCTATTTATTTCAATGAAAATTAAATTCCTCAAACTGAAAAACAGTAGAACAGTGACACATTCCCCTGCCAAGTATAGTCAAGTGCTTTTGTAGGCACTCAAATGCTGAGCCGAGAATCAAGGGCCTTTTCTCAAGTGACGGGTCTTTTTTTTTGGTTACTTGGAAAATCACACCTACACATTGTATGTAGAACAGCTTGAGCTGTTTCATGACCTGCAAAACGTATGCATTATAGATCACTCGTCAAACCAATGCCTGGAAATTGAAACGGCAGCCAAGAAAAGCTGGCTTCGTATGGCGGTGCTAATAACCAGTCATCCCTCACGGAAATCACTCAATTTCTAGCAGGTGCGCCAGATATGCCTATATTTGCTGAGCTTACTGGATGGGACCTGACAGTTGATCCACTTGTGCAGTACATCTTCATCGCACAGATCTTTCAAACCGCCTTTGTATTAATAAGTTTATTATTTTGGCACTGCTGTAAGAAGTGGTCTGCCGTATTTGGAACAATGGATTGCCGTATTAGCGTTTTCTCTGCGTTGAAGATGGTATTTCTAGCAATCTCCTGCTTGAATTGCAGAATATCGGAGTCAGCACCCGCCTTCTTTGATCTGATGATAGACCCTCGTGACATCCTGACGCTTGTTAAGGCAGCGGTAAGTCGACTGATCCTTTCAATAGCTTTTCTCGAATTCCGAGATTACATATCTTTCGGTACAAAACTTTGTCAAGTGCGTATCAGTAAGTCTTGATAAAAGGTGCATATATTTATTATAATTATTACAGGACTAAGCTCCCGCTTGTTCGTTGAAATAGAAACAATAAAAAAAAAACCCGGACAGGTGTTCAAAATCGAGCTTGTTGACTGTTTACCCAAAGAAAACTAAAAAAATCTCTGTCCTACTTTGAACGGTGGCGGTCAGAATTTTCTATAGTTTCGGTTACATACTTTCCCTGAGTCACAGGCCGTCGCATTTTTGAAGTTTTTCTTTCCAATGCAAAACAGAGTTTCCTGTCAAACTATGGCTACATCACCCCGCAAAAGGGTAATATGCCACCAGAGCAGATGAATGTGACAGAGATGTCTCTTGCCATCCGGAAGATGCAGCGGTACGCCGCCGTTAACCAAACTGGCGTACTCGACGAGGCCACGGTCAGGATGATCAATACGGCCCGCTGCGGTGTCCACGACGAACCGGAGGAACTAACGGATACCAGAATTGAGAACTACGGGCCGGCAGAGTCCGGAGATAGGCGCAAAAAGCGATATGTTGTGGCTGGATTGAACTTCAAGTGGAAAACGAATGACATTACTTACAAGTATATAAGAATATCGTCATTTTGGCCAACTTAGAGATAATACATCTACCACTCTTTTAAAAATCGGTATGGTCTTCCAAAGAGAGAAAATTCTCAGCACAAAACGGCCTTCACTCTACCACTAACAACGGGAGGCGAGATAATAAGCCCCTGATAAGGAACATTTGTTTTGCTCTTATTTGACTCAAACATTAAGTAGAAAGGGCGGCCATAAGATCACAGAATATGGCTCGTGGCGTGAAAAGTTAGACACGATATCGAATTGATGGTAATTGTCGATGTATAAAGTCTGTCCTACCATAAAAATTATTTTATCAGACATCCGGGTGGTGTGTGGAAACCTTATTGCCATACTAGCTTGAACTGCGTGCGCCAACTACACGCCTTGTGCTTGTCCTATAATATTATTGTTACAATTGTTTTGGTAAAGTGACTGTTCCCATTCAACCTAGGATTGTCAACTACCCAGAGAGGTCGCGGTCTAGAATCACTGATGCGCAGGTCAGGGACGACACGGAGAGAGCCTTGAAAGTTTGGAGTGACGTTACACCTCTGTCTTTTACCAGGGTAACATACGGGTAGAATTTGCCTTGACTTACAACAAGTTTCTTGTTGGTTTCCTTCTTGGTCAAATTGGACATGGTATACGTATAGCCTATTCAAGAGGTTGAATTAATAATAGAGGCATTTATGTTGGAACTTTTTCTCTCTCCTGCCTGAATGGATGTACACATTCAAATTTTTTTGTAAGGGCAATTGTTTCACACCCAACAAAGGCTGAACAAGATTTCATTTTGTCATTACTTTTGACTTGTCATCATCACTGTAATCGTCATTTTTATTACTTTTGCTTTCAACATTAACAGCAGCGTAACAAATGGGGCCAAGTTGGCAAGGGTCATATTCCGGGATCCTCAGAGTCTTCTGAGAATCCAGTTAGGCCGAATCTTGGACACCCAACAATTTATTTCGAGTAGGGTTATACCCCACAGCCCCCTGACTTATACTGCTATAGATTGCCTCTTCAGGTCAGTGACAATGAGGCGGCTGATATTGAAATCTCATTCGGTTCTTATTACCACTCTGACATTCCGCGAGATCCAACCTTCGACGGGCCGGGTGGGACCCTGGGACACGCCTTCTTTCCCAACAGTGGCTGGGGAACAGCGAATGGGGACGTGCATCTCGACAACTCGGAGACGTTCACTCATAGAGAAGTCGACGAAGGTTTGTTGGCTGAAAAGTTCGACACAAGAAAGGTTGTTAATAACTGAACTATTTGGCTTAAAATAACGAAATCTGGACGACATTTCACGTGTTATGCCGAGACATCATAAAAAGAAAGGAAAAGAAAAGAAGACTATAACGTGTAAATTATGTTTTTACTCGACCACAGCAAACACGAAAGGACCAAACCATGGAAATGCACAAACTTTTCAGACACGTTCAGTAAAATTCCTGCTCAAAATAATACACAAAATAAATGTAGGATAGCTTGATTCAATACATCAGCCCAAACCCTAAAGTACAACTTTGCGACTTCTCGATATAATAATAATATTTCGCCTGCCAAAAACACTGAAGTTATAAGAACTATTTCTTTCTTTTTGTAATCTTCAAAGGAACGGACTATTTCTACACAGTTGCGCATGAGATCGGCCACGCCCTAGGCTTAGCCCATGCTACAGACAAGTCCTCACTAATGTTTCCGTACGATAAAGGTTATATTCCTGACTTTGTATTGCCAGAAGATGATACGTACGGTATTCAGCTTTTGTATGGTAAGAATAAGTCATTTCATTTCGAGCTTGGAGCAGCTTATATTCATGCTCATGTCTTCTGTTTGTCAGTTTTCTTCTTGTTTCTGAACGTGTCTACAAACTTTTGTGTGGTTATTGGGATACTGAAGAATCTTACAGCAATACTGTCCCTGATTGTACGTGTTTTGTCTCAGGGCCGAAACCCGATGGTCCGTCTAAAGAGGCTGTAGATACTCCAACGGTCGCGCGAACCTATCACGAAATATGTCAGCGGGGCGTCGATAGTCTGACGGTCGTCAACAATGTCTTACATGTGTTTTCAGTAAGTTACTTTTGTAAGATATTTTAGAAGGTGGACGTAAAATTCAACGAGGTGTACCAAGAACTTTTAAAAACGGGTTTACAAACATTTCTGTGCACGGAACATCCCACGGTGCTGTGTTATGCCGCAGATATGTTGCTGTGGACTCGCACGTAAAGTGTGCCAGAACAAGTGCATAATCTGTTTTGGAGAACTTAAAACTAGCAGATCGACTTGTGGGTTACCAAATTTCTCCTCAAACCGTATCTTAACTTCACACGGCTGTGGCTTTTTGTAGGGAAGTAAATTCTGGAAGATGTCGACAAATAAAGAGTTTGTTGGCTCTTCAGAAGGGACCGTTTGCAGAGATTACTTCGAACGATTGAAAGTGGGTGCCACGGCGGTGTACACGCGATGGGACGGCAAAGTGGTGTTTTTCAAGGGTAGGTTAACACAAAAATCTGACCCCAAAATCATCCTTTCGGTCAATTTAACTTAGCATGGCATGTGATATTGAGAACGGAAGAAGAAAAACGAGTGTTTGTAGTTAGTTCTCAATATTTAGAAAATCCTTCTTATAGGTGTGTTTTAGCTGTGGGAAGTTTGGAATTAATTTTGGCACGGGAACAGCTGATTTTGTGGGACGTATGCATATGGTAGAGGAGGAGCTTGAGGAGACCCTACCCTACATTCCACTCTCTGCATTAATTTGAACGACGACATTTTCTTCTTTCCAACATTACAAGAAACAGAAATTCACATTTTAACAATGATTTATAATCTCATGCCATTGCTTTCATTGGGTTAAATGCCATAATAGGTAAGAACTACTGGACATATGACGGCAAGAACGTAGAAGAGAACAAGGCCTCCAAGATAGCAAGTCTAGCAGGCGTGCCCAAATCACCCACAGCAGTCATGCAAGACAGGGACCAGCGACATACTTATTTCTTCAAATATTCTAAGGTGAGCCAGTATATAGTTACCTGACCATTAAGTGTTTGAAATAGTAGAACAAGTTTCGAAAGGATGGGCACATGTTGTCGACTGCTATCAAAATTAAATTTCATGTCAATCCAAGGCCACCATAGTTTTAAATTACACGGTAGCTCTGGAATGACAAGTCGTGTTCGCTCTACCTGATTTATTGTGGAATTATTGAGATTATTATTTTTTGGCAAGGTGTGGAAATATGACGAGCTAGCCCAAACACTCGTTGATGGGTTCCCGCTGGGAGTGCACAAGGTGTTTGACGGACTGCCTGCCAAGAGCCGAGTACGCGCAGCATTTGTTGATGCACAAGGTATTGGAAACACCATCCGTTTACATTATGAAGTGCAAAAGGGTCTATATTTAACTCCACCGGAAAGTGACAGTTGAACCTTTTGTATATTTTCTCCGTTCTTTGTAATTTGTGAGTCTGTGAGGATAATTATAGGAATAGCTGATGAAAGTTAAGTAACCTGTCTTTGAGGGAAAAAAAATGTTTCATGTACTCATTACAGGTGATCGATATCTTCTTGTTGGGAGGGAATTCTACCGGTTCCCGAACGGGAAAGACCAGTTGGATCCGGAATACCCGAAAGACTTTCTGGTGGAATATTTCGACTGCCCACCAGAACAATAAGGAAGAGTAAGAAAGCTCTTCGAGGTGGGAGTCAAACAAGTCTCAGAGGATTGTTTCGAATATACTCTATTAATTTAAAAAATATTTCAAAGAGTGAAAATACTATATTTAAGGTTGAAGTGTACTAGGAAGGAAGATGTTAAGCCTATGTCATTGTTAACCGGTTTTGTGTATAAATATTGTGTATTAAAGCACCACAGATGTAGTTTTTCTTCAAGAACTCTCGTGTAGTGGACAAAAAGGGCAAGTAGAACGTTAGAGCCATTATTTTTCAGTAAAATAAAACAGGAAGATGGTTCTAACTAAGAATAAGGCCACCTTACTCTCCTCCAATAAGAAAAGCTTACAAACAGATTGCTTTGTAAGAGAGCTAGACAGAAATGGAAGTAACCGGTATATAAAAGAGTTTTATAAGATGGTTTCGTCGGAGGGAAGTGACAAATTTTGTGTAATCTAGAAATAATTTTTTTTTTGTTCGGAGGAGGGAGACCATTTTGGGCAAATTGCAGAGGGAGAGAAAGGTCGTAAAATGTTCAGAGCAGTATGTATAATATTTTCAATTAATAAAAATTATATATTGGAATGATATATACTGCTTATAATTGTGTGTTCATACATGATGTCATTTTCTTAACAATAAAAATGTCTATGTTTACACTGTCTCCAATTGTGTGCGTCTCGTTACCTAGCATTAGGATGTCTTCGGATCTTATTGATTACGTTTTGGATCAAACTGCGTTCCGGGATTCCATTTACTTGATTCTGCTTTATTTTGGAATAGGCCTACGTGAATATTTATTTTACATTTCAGTTGTTTGATGGGCGGGGAATAGCGTTTATTTTTTTTTCTTTAATTCGAATATTCTCATGACACCAAAATGGAATTTAATCCCTTCTTATAGGTCGAATTCAATCTATATAGCAACTTCCAATAACAGACAAGTTCACTGATCGCGCATGCCTACTGGCAAAGTACTATGGACGCGAATCACTATTTCGGAGTGAGACCACGGTGCGACTGAAGGAAGTGGTGACATTATTTCCATTTCTACAGCGTCTAAAACAGTTCAATAGCATGCGAGCCCCTTTCAAGCCCCTTGCATTAAGTCTCTGCCATGCCGACTTGGCAAATGCAAGAACGCACAACACAGTACCAGGAAGTCCCTGTAACTTACTGAACTCGAGTTCAATCCATCGATAACTGCACAATATGGATTCACACTTTCGATTACAACGTGCTAATGAAGTAAGCAGATCAGGAACCTATCGTGAACTTCCGGCCCTACCCGACCATGCCTTTGCACTTTCTTGCACTCTTGGCGACACAATACCCTTTTGCTTGAGAGTTATGCTACTTTGGAAGTTTGAACCCTTATCAGAAGTGCATGCATGCGCGGTGCCGTTGCACTTACGAGGACCTGAAAACAGACAGAGAAATGATTGCCATGGCAACGCAGTCGGTACGGCATGAACGTTGCATTCGCATTCACAACCTCTTGAGTGAGTGTTGGACCACTAATTCAACTGCTTGGGTCTGCCTTACTGTTAGAGATGACACACAAAGTCGTGTGAGAGATTAAAAAATCGGGTGGAGAAACTGCGACTAATTTGCTTACATACACGGACGGGAGAGGATGGGATATATACAGGTAATCATTCTCGCTGGTACATGTGTAACATATACTACAAGCAGCAATACTGTATGGTTGTACGTACACTATTCTAAACTGTGGTTGCAATCTCTGAAAAGGGAAGTTTCTTTTCGTTTACTTGTTGAGAAGCAATAGCATTATGCGACCAGCGGTGGCATTTAACTGTTTGTATACATTTTCATCTGCCAAGTGCATGCATCAGGACGTTTGTCACTTTTCTGGCAACACAGTGACTTGTACCGTAAACAGCTGCCATCACACGTACGTACATGTATGTCAATGGTCAATGCTTAGTTTGCTTACTTCATCAGTGTGGCACCGCAATCAGGTGACGAAGTGTGATTGTCAACTTGACCTCGGTCTCACAGACCAATCCGGCCTCTTACTGCACAGTGCGGAACCTTAGCTCTCGGGAAGTCTCGTCAGCAACGGGATCCGAAATTCTAAATCACTGTCTCTGTTTATCAGGCCCGAGGCTAAAAATCGGGACCGTGTTTGCGTGATGACTTCCAGTCAAGCATCTCTCCGGTCACCGAAGTTCAACGTCATGGCGAGGGACCGCTGTTTGCTGGTTGGATCAATCTAGGGCAGGTGTATGGGACACAAACCACAATCCTGGAAACGCCTTGGTGCTGAGTTGGCGAACAGGTGGGATTTTTTGGCTCTTCAGTGTGGTAAGTAATATTGCTCCAACTCTGACATAATAAAATAGAATATCATCCAAGTTGATTGCTAATGTGCTGTTTTTCTATTTCAGTAAAACTGAAAACTTTTTTCCAAAAACTAAGATTTGGATATTGAGGAATGTTCCATTTTTTTACATGTGCGGGGCCCAAATCTGCAGTACCTTTCGCTGTAAGGAAAACCTTGGAGCTCGGACAGTTTTGAAAATCTCATTCGCGATTTTGTGAAGGTAAACCTATAGGTACATTTCGTTTGAAGGAAATGCTTTGGTTGCACTTTTGAACACTGTTGATTTTTGGGGAAAAGCACGTTACACTTTTAAATGGTTTTCCACGGTTCCTCCGCAAAAGTCGCGCCAGCGGAAATGCCATTCCTCTTGGCCGCATGATGCTCTTACTTTCTCACGAAGACCGTCACGCACGGTACATGGTAGTCTGTGTACGATCATTTTCCCACAAACGTTATTACTTACCGGCCATTTTGTAATGGCTCTATGAACATAGCTCACCTATACATGACTTTCTGCCACAGCAACCCGAAAACAAGTTTGAAATTTGATTAAAGCTTTTAGTCAGCCAAATGTAAACTTTGAGCCTTTCAAACCAAACCTATTCAGAATGGATGATCCAAAAAATAATTTTCATACCATTTCGAATGGGAACCACCGGTTCCTTATTCGTGGTTCCTGATTCCTGCGGAAGTGAGTACTTTTTAAATGTAAAATTAACTTTCTTTTCTGCATGCAGAGGTCAATAGTATTTAATGTGATTTTCAGGAGTACAAGCGTGAGAGCTCCTTGGACTCATTTAAAAAGCGTGAAAATGGTTCACTGGAAGAAACGAGTTTTCCCAGTGGGTAACCCTGGCCTGACTGCTAGGTGACGTGTTTATTTTTAGCCAGTATCTCGGTTCCATCGTCTCGTATCATAGGCGACGAATAGAAAAACATGCTGCGCGAATGATTCTGCAAACTGAGTCTGGCACGTCTCACACTCGGCGTATCCAGCTTTTAATGTGGGGGGGATTCAGAAGGGAATGCGGCTATGCATTTATGGCTCTTTCAACATGGTGTTGTTTTGTTGAGTTCTGTTGCTAATAACAAATAAATATACCAATTACTTTCTTTCCGTTGTAAAATATCAGTCGGGGGGAGGGGAATTGTCCCCCTGCCCCTCCCCCCGCCAGATACGCAACTGCTCAGATTCTAGTCAACAGATGCAATCAGGCGGGCTTTGTGTAATCATCATTATATAGCTCGCCCTGAAAGTATCCGAAATAGATAACCTCATTCGGTGGAATGTAGGCCTATGTGTGATATAGCTTCATGAATAATGTAATCACGGGGCGGGTTTCAACCTCAAGGACATAATTAAAACCAGAAAATAGACACAACACTGTATGCATATTCGGAGACAACAACATACATCTTGAAAAAAACATAAGAGGATGATTTACTACATACAGGTCGAGTTCGGGCGGCCTGTTCTTGACACGGGTTTCCCGTTCTAGCGCTCG